GGTCACTTCCTGTCGACGTTACAGATCAGAGGCACAGAGAGTCGTTGACTAGAGATGATACGCCGTCTCATGGCGGTCACTTCCTGTCGACGTTACAGATCAGAGGCACAGAGAGTTGTTGACTAGAGATGATGCGCCATCTCATGGTGGTCACTTCCTGTCAACGTTACAGATCAGAGGCACAGAGTTGTTGACTAGAGATGATACGCCGTCTCATGGTGGTCACTTCCTGTGAACCGGCAGGTTTTAAGAGTGTTGCGGTGCATTGCAGGTAGTTGCCTGTTTCAACTTGTCTCGTCGCGAATCTTTGGTTTGAACTGGGCATTAAAGTTATGAATTAACGACAGATAAACAGAGAAGAGTGAAAATATATAATTCAAGTTTATAAAATAAAATAAGTAAAAATAGAAACTATACAAAAACAGTGAAGTTTCAAGACAAGAGTGACATCGCTTGTGAGAGAATAACATATTACATGTGGTCAATGATGTTATGACTGATTTGTGTGCATTAATAAATTAATATAATATGGTCCATAATTTGATAAAACAGTAAAATATATATTGACATAATGTAGTAAAATATAGTATAGGAGATAAAATATAAGGTGAAATGTATAATATATAGTATAGTACAGCTGTATGGCACAAAATATAAAGTATCGTAAATGACGAATAATAAACTTGTGTAATTCTGTAACTTTTTATTCTGACCTTTGCGCTGCAGGTACGGCCGGGTGGCTTTAAGGACAGACAAGAAGATAGAGAGCAGCTCCACCAGGTCTCCAGTGACGTGACACGCCGTCGCCTCATGGTACATCATGTGCAGAGTGTTGAAGGACTGCAGAAGACAGACAGAGAGCATCGCATTATTCTCCAGATCACAAAGATGTTTTGAGTTTTTATGTAGTGGTTCACACCAAATGCAAAGCATAATTCTTAGGCAGCATACACAGTCGATGCAGTGCAGCCAATAAGTGAAATTTGGGTGACACTGTGTCACAAAAGCCTGTCAGCGTTAAGATCCTCCTGATGTCCTGACTTTGTTGAATCAGAAATGGAGGAACAAAAATTATTGTAGCCATCTGACGGCACCCAGACCTCAACGACAATGGCTCGTATTTCTACAGAGGCTCGACTAATAAAAAAATTGAAAAAGAAGTTAGACTACACGGTAAATTCTGAAAATATGTGTCTGTTACTTGATTCCAGCTTTCAGTTGTATTTTACTATCAACCTAGTTTGCACTTTTAGACCCAGACATGACGTTTACAGCAGCAACAAAGCAGCAATAGTGGTTATTTCAGCCACGACTGTTGATGGAAGGAAATGGCGGACAGAACTGTTGTTCTTCAGCTTCTCGCATTAGTAACACAAATAAACACACATGATCACATAGTCAAACACACACAAGTAACACAAGACAAGAATTCACTTTGCGTTTAAAGAGGAGATCCAGATTGTACCTCAGTCATGAGGATGAGTCCTCTGTTAAACACCACCAGCAGTCGGTCCTCGTCGTTCTCCAGCAGAACCCTGAAGGCACTGAGAGGAACAACAGAACCAGGTGTTAGGATCCAGATCACAGAAGCTCCTCAAAGCAAATATTCAGTCTCTAAATCTGACTCTTTTTTAAGCTGAGAATGTCCAAACCACCACAGAGACTAAACATATTTACTGTTACTCTGACTGGATCAGAAAGAAAGATCATTTCCACAGATCAATGACACCGCCTCACTGACCAGGCTACACATGACGCTAAACATGTTACAAGCTTCACTGTATACATTTGTGCATGTGTCCCGACCTGATGAGCGTGGTCCAGCAGGAGCGGCCGTCCAGGCAGCGCAGGTAGCAGCTGATGGTGGTCTTCTTGAACTGTTTAATGTCCTCCAGCTCTTCTTCTCTCATGTCAGGTCGCTGCGCCACAAACAGCTGCATCAGGTTGAACAGCTCCTCCACCGCCTGCAGGGTGCAGCACCGACACAGCACAGACAATCAATGCATCATTTTCATAACATACAGGCACATTCGATACATGTTTTATGTGTAAGATTTAGGGGGATTTAGCTGTGTTTTTAGGGGCGAGGACTGCAGATTGCAACTGGCTGATACTTAAGGAGGTTATTACCCGGAGCATAATTATCTACAGAGGTCTCTTCCTCTCCAAAACCAACGGACCAGGGGTCTCATTTATAAAACAGTGCGCAGGATCCATACTAAAAGTGCACGTGCACACAAAAGCAGGAAATGGTGTGCGGCAAAAGATATTCTGATTTATAAAACCATGGGTACGCTTGGCAGTGCCCAATTGCCCAAATCAACTTGGCATTGTCTGCACGTGGATTCGCCTCATGTCCCACCCTCTACACGCCCACATTCAACTATAAATCGTCAAAGCAATTTCTGCTGGAACTGATCTGAGAGCAGCCTCTCCACTCACCCCGGGGTACTGGCTGGCGTGTGGCGTCAGGTTCTTGAAGGCCCACTGGATGTTCTGGTGCGAGGCGAGTTGTCGGGTGAAGGTAGGCGACTGCTCTCAGCACATACGCAGGATGCCGTAGTAGGCGGGCAGCATGCCGCGGTTGAAGAGCACCACCTCCTGGTCGTCGTGGTCGGCCAGGATGTAGTTGAAGGCAATGTTCTTGGTCACCACAGGGTTCTGCACCACCAGGCGGACGTTCTCCGGACAATCCACGCACATGTTGTACCAGAAGGACAGCAGCGCCTGCTTATTGTGGTTGGTGGCGATGGCCGGCTCCGACAGTTTGGGCTGAAGGCGGAGACGAGGACAACATGAATAACGATTCAGACAAGAAACTACTGATCATTATGAAGCTGCAACTAACAGTTATAATGTGGTTATAAGCAATTATTAGGCTGTAACATGGTTATTAATGGACATTATGTGTTATTAAGTTCTCCTACGAAGACAAATTTCACATTATTACAACTGTGTGTTATTTAAATTTAATTCATTATCTGCTTTTATATGGAGCGACATTTAGATCAACATTGAATTAACCCCAAATAAATAAATATGGCTATGAAGAATTCCTAAAATAAATAAGCAGGGCAATAAATATGTAGATAAATGTAAATAAAAATGTATATAAATGACTCAATACAGATAAATAAGTAAACAGGATTTTAAATTTAGGAAAGGATGTTTTTTCAAAAGACTACTTTTATTTATTTCAGCAGACTTTTATTTCTTAATTTAATTATCCAGGATCTATTTCATAGCCATATTTATTTATTTCATAGGAAATGTATTTATCTTTTTATTTAATATCAACTTCAATAGCATTCCATATTTTTATATCCCAACTGAATATACAAGTAAAAAAGATAAAAATAAATGAATAAGGGAAAAAACAAAACAAATAAATGTAAACAGAAAATAATAAATAAAATATTTAATATAAGATATGAAATCTATACAAAACTGAGTCATTTGTCAAAAAATAAACACTTTAATTATTTATTTATTTTTTCATTTCTGTCCATTTATATTTACTAACCTCCAAATGTATTTGATAATTGAAGCTTTTTTTTACTACATTTTTTTTATTTATTCCTTCTTTATTTATTTATTTAATAATAATGGCATCTTTTGTCTTTCATTGACAAGACAGATATGTAAATAAATAATTTTTGTTTTGTCTCACCATCTGGGATGTTAGAAATATAACAGTTTCTTTAAATACTGAATCGGTGATAATATAAAATGAACATATATATAAAATAAACATAATAAATAGTAATAATAATATTAAGTAAATAAAGTAAATAAAAGAAAAAGACACAGAGAAACTTCAGAGGCAGTATTGAACGTACCTGGAAGAGGTTCCAGAGGTCCATGAAGTATCCAGAGAACATGAGTTTCTCCGTCTTGGAGATGAGGCAGTAGGTCATGAAGCTGAAGTACTGCACCAGCTTGGTTGTGCCGTGAACGCTAGCGTCCACGTACAGCTTGGCGCGTCCCAGCAGCCCCAGCAGCAGGTTGTACACCTGGTGGAGGACCACGGTGGTGTCGGGTGACAGCGGCAGCTCGCGGGTCGGCAGGTGGAGGGAGCGCGTGGAGCGAAACATCTGGCGGAAAGAGTTGCTGGGGATGAGGGAGACGAGGAGGTACGCCGCCGCTGGAGGGAGGAGAGACAGTTTTATTTTTATTGTCTGTTATTTATCAGTAATGACTCGCTTCTAATTTTCTAATGAACTAGAAGCAATTTCTGCTCAGGTTATGTTTTTACACTGACGAACCATCTTGTTCTTTGGACTTTAATCTCTGCAAAGGTAAAGCTTCAACAGCAAAATGCTATTTATGTTTATTTATTCATCCAGAAAAACAGACTGTCACTCAAGTGGCCTGCCCTTACACAAGCAGAACTTTAAACCTTAAAGGAATACTCCGACGATTTGGGAGTTATGCCCTTTCTCTATCATTTTCATATTGAGACAACATGATCGATATCTTTTTTGTGTCTGTGCATCCAGTGGCTGGGTCTCAGCGGTTAGCACTGCTGCTTAGCTTAGCGAATACAATTGAAGTCTATAGGGGGTCAGTAGCCTACAGTAAAAGTGAACAAATAAACGTTACAGAAACCCTGAAGCTGGCATTTCTGCACGTGCATTTAAAATAAACATGTTTAAACATTAATGCGAAAAACAAGAGTCCTTTTTAGTTTGATACACTCTGAGGCAGAGGGTGCTGTCTGTAGCTCTGGTTGAGGGTGAGAGGCTGTCAGCAGATAAACAGAGATCTGTGTGGGTACATGAGACCCTAAAAAAGAGGCTGGATCATGGGGAGTACCACCAGTTGGTCCAGGAGCTTCTCCTCCATCATGGACGTTTACAGGCAAATTTTAGGATGACTCAGGGGCAGTTTGACAACCTGCTGTCTATTGTCAGGCCGTATAGCTCTGGGTATCCAAAAACTGCTACCACCAGTTTCTCCTCCATTGTTTACCAACTGTAAACGTGTTGTCGTGACCACCACAGAAGGCCCGCCTCTCAAATCATCTCATCGGACAATGGGGAAAAAAGATGACCAAAAAAAGAGATGATGTGGGGCGTTTTTCAATTCGAGGAGTTCAGAGCCAAAACACCAGGTGCTTAGACCACAGAAACGCGAAGTGCATCACAACCCAAAAAATGCAAGCAAAAAGCTTCAATCTCATTAATGACAAAAAGGCGCCTCCAGCTGCTAAAGCACTTTCTGTGTGATCAGGTCCTTACACTGTTAAAAACAGCGTCTGGTAAAAAGACTGCAGTATTTGGAGTGTATAACTGAGGCTCTTACATGTGCGGACTCGGGGGTAGTTGTGTGCCAGAAGGAAGCGTTCCACCCAGTTCTCCATGTTCTGCAGCACCCAGCTGTGGGCCAGTTTGTTCCTGGGAGTCTGGACAGCCAGCCAGTCCAGACACTGGGACGGGTTGTACTCAATCACCTGAAGGGAAGCACACACAAACATGAAGGCACACAGAACAAAAAAAACGCATCACGACCTGTCTGTGTGGGAGTGATGCTCCTGCCATGAGTCAGGGTGTTGACATGATCTGTACCTGCTGACTAAATGGATAAAACTGAGAGTGAGAGGAAGTCGACACGAGTGAAGGTTCAGCTTAAATGAGTCAATTCTGAAGTTGGGAAAACCACATTTTCATGCACTCTGGACTTAATCAACCAAAAAACTTCATCTGTTTAATTGTCATATTAAAGAAATGTTTCATCAGCAATGAGTTAAGTTTATAGTTGATCATCTATTCTATACCTTTTTATAATCTATAATAATCTGCATGGGGTTTTAGTAAAATTGTCTTTGTCATTTTTTATGCCACCATTTTGGCCAGACCTCTCTCATTACAAGACACATTTTATCTAAAGACACGTAACAGATGAAACTAAGGGCAAAGAATGTTTATAAAGATGGTAAAATAATCTCAAGATGCTAAAACTATTGTCACTAATGATTCCACTGACTAGATTATTGTCAAGTATCTGTAGCCACATAGAGAATAAGCCAAAGCAGATGAAATTAGCTTCATATTAAATATGTTGCCTCATTAAAAGAAGAGATATAAAAACTTGAAAAACAGTCAGAAGTAGAGGAGATAATTTCATTTCTGTGTCAGTGTCTTACCTCCCAGATCCTCTGCAGGATGTAGGAGGCGAAGGAGGGCATCCCGGGTGGTCCGCCTGCAAACTCCATCAACATCGTCAGCAGCTTGAAGAAAGGATTAGCAGCCTGATGAAGTGAAAGAAAACGGTTAAGCTTGTTATACACTCAGATCTCAGATTATTTAGTGTCAGACGTTGTATGAGTGCCACAGTAATAACAGAGACGCATAATGAGCTTAAATCTGCATGAGGTTGGGGTGCTTGTGATTCCACAGAGCGAATAAATTATTTCAAATAATAAGAATAATAGAACACTTTGACAGATGTGTCAGAACTTAAAAAATGTGTCAGAACATTAAAAAAAAATGATCCGAGTAACCTGCTTACCTCAGGAGTCAGCTTTGCGATGGAGGTGAAGAGCATCGACACAATCTGTTAGGAGGAGAATTATATGTTTAATATTAGAACAACTATTTGTAGAGCTGGGTGATATGATAGTGTATACTGTGTGATGGTAGAAATGTGTCAAGGTTATTATAATTAACTAAAAACTACAACTAGGTGTGAGAAAAACATTTTAAATTACTAAAATAAAAATAAAAAAATAGACTTTAAAAAAGAAAACTAAGTGAAACAATGCATCAATCTGGTCAGGAGACATCGTGCATATGTTTATTATGACAGGGATGTCAACACAAGAGTTGTGTTTGTATTGTGATACCTATTATCTTCTTAAATATTTCCCCTGATAAATAACCCCATGTATTAAATCATTTATTTAACCAAGAAGTCCCATTCAGATTGAAAATCTCTTCAACAAGAGAGACCTGGTCGAGGTAGCAGCCAATCAAAACATATTCAAAATGCAACAAATGCAACATATAATACAAACATCCACAATAAAACAACAATTATTCAAACTTAGTGGCCGCTCAAAAAAAAAAAAAAAAAACAAGCACATGTCTAAATACGGTGGTCTTAAGGAGAACCACTCATTCAGGTTTAACTGACAGAATATCACAAATAAAACATTAAATCTCAGACCTCAGGTACTGAGACCCACAGAAAGGACTGACTAGGCTGCCATCTTGGAAGTAGCTACGTCATGATAAAAAAATTTGAAATCTAATAATGAAACTAATAAAAACTAAACTGAAACAAGCACACACACTCTGGGAACTAACCAAAACTAAACTAATTTGAAAACAAAAAATAAAAATGAAATAAAAATATACACTAACGAAAAGTACAAAACTATAACAACTCTGCATGTATGTTCATATACTAGACTTGTATTGTACCTCTTATTATTTATTATTTTACTTTTTGCTATGTAACTGTACTTGTTTTCTGTTTTGACAACCGAATTTACCCTCTGGGGATCAATAAAGGCAAATCTTATTATCTTAGTTGATCTTGAAGTTTTAGGTTGGAGGTTAAAAAAGAATTTTGATGCAAACGCCACCATCGACTCATTTTCTGTGTGTATGTTATGAACCTACATGCTCTGCCAGGCGGTTGTTATAGCGACAGAGGCTGAAGATGAGGTTGCAGGTCTGCCTGATGTTGATACCATCTCTGATGTGCTGGAAGAGGAAGGGGAAGCCCTTCCCTCCGGTCAGCGCTGCCATGTCGCTCTGGGACAGAGTCAGATGTCTGGGGAGCAGGAAGAGAAAGAGAGTCGTCTGAACTCCTGCAGCATTACAGAGAGTAACATTTATTCCATCACATCCATGTCGCGCTGCACTCGTACCTCTCAGAGCGAGACTGCTCCACCAGCAGAGCAATGAGTGCGATCATCTTCTCCAGAGCTGCAGGACGATACTTCTCCTCCGCCAGAGACAAGATGTCTTCCTCCTCATCCTCTTCCTCTCCCTCCTCCTCCGACAGCACCTCCACCTGAGGCTGAGAGAGGAGGACACTCCTCATTTACTCCTCCTTATAATTCCCTTACATACATGTCATCTATCACTATGTATACAGTGTTATTAACAGCAGTGGAATGTAACTAAGTACATCTACTCAATGTTGCTTCAGTATTTTATACTTAAATATTGTACTTTTTACTGCACTACGTTTATCTGATAACTTAAGTTACTTTACAGGTTAAGATTTTACACGTGATCTATTTATCAAATATGATGCAGTGTTAAAGATTTCATGACCCAAAAGTATATTTAGGCAGTTAAAATAAGCTGCACGTTTACCAGCTATAACACTAAACTCAGTTCTCATAATAATGCATCAATAATAATGGTCTGGTAGGGCTGCCCCTTAAAATTGGAGATTCGTTTCGTCAGTTGAACACCCCTCAGTTGAGGAGAAAGTGTAGCAGTCAGGACTGATGTAACAAATGTTTATTTTAATGTAAAATAAATAAAACACTCCAGCCCTGAGTGAATTAATTGAAAACTTCCTCCACCACTGGCTGCAGACTCAATCATGACATTTAATAAGAGAGAAAGATGTAATCAGTGTTAACTTACATTCTCAGGACCTTTGGTTCCCATGTAGAAATGTACCATGATTGAGATAGCTTGTAGTGACAATAAGAACTGACTCTGGAGACACAAAACACACCAATGACTTCAGGTTCGTGAAGATCTGCAACACTTTTAACGACTGTGCTTTCCCAGCATGTAGTAAAACATCGATAACACTTTACTTGAAGGTGTCTACATAAGGATGACATGACACTGTCATGAACTTGTCATAAACATTATGTACATGTCATAAACGTCTATGACTGCTGTCATTACGTGTCATTCAGTTTTTGTCTTGATTATGACAACTTGACATTTATCAAAGTGACATTACCAGAAGTTGTCTTTGTCATGACAAGTTGACATTAAAGCCCCTACAAGGAACTTTCACTTTGAGTTGATTTTGGCGACCCTGTGGACAAAAGCGGTAGTGTTTTGCCGGAATGAAGCCTACATTTCCTATGAGCTCTAGCGCATATTGTCGTAAAGACACTTACCTGGCTCACGCATGTGTTTGTGTTTTTGGGGATGAATGAAACAACAAGACGGGAAAACTTTGCCCACGCTCCTATCGGGGATCCCAGATCACCTCTGCCGCGCCCCAGCTCCACCTCTCCGCCATAAGGCTCAAGCGCCACTGCCGCCGGGGTAAACGCAGCGGTAGGCAGGTAAGGCTGAAGGCCTGTTTGGCATGTCACTCTTATGTAGATACCTTCCAGTTAAGTGTTATCAAAACATCTTTCGGAATAAGACTAAGTAGTTCAGACTGACCTCCTCCTCTCCCATCTTGGCGAACTCATAGAGGAAGGCAAAGTACTCAGTCAGGTGTTTGCTGTGGGGCTTGACGCCGTGCTCCATGATGGACAGGAGTGTCTTCACGAAGCGAGTGACGCAGGATCGGCTGCCAATGTCCTCCACCGGGCCATCCATGTCGTCGGAGCTGAGACAGAGAATAAGCAAAAAGGGAAATACGGTTTCAGAATCATTAGATACGCTTCAGTGGCCGCGTATGTGAACACACAGAGAAGGAACCTGACTCCCGTTTTCAGCTGCTCTCAACTTACTAACATACAGAAAAAGTCATGGAAAAGTTTTTGTTTGGCCTGTTCCCATTAGTGCATGCTTGAATCCCTCTCAACTCTGTTTGCTTCAGTAATGTGGAGCCTAAAATCTTTCCCAGAGTCCAGAGTGACGGAGACACTGAGTGACACATGGCTCCTGTTTGGATCTTTGTCGCCACCTGATACCACAGACACAACACTGTCTGTTTGTGCTGCACACCTCTAATGGCACACTTAAACTGACCCTACATTTGTTCTTCTTCTAGTGCCCAACGCTAAATAAGCTCCAAATATTTCTAGTTTAAGTTATTTCAAATGTACCTCTTTATCCTGAAGAAGAGAAGCTGTAATTAGTCTTTGCTGTGTGTTTTAAAAGTTGCATTCAAAATTCAAACTGCTCGACTGGGAGAAAAAATGAAACAACTTTATGGAGATCTGGTAAAACAAAACAAATTCTTCGAACATCAAAAATATTTGAGGAATGGAAACTCAACCAACTTCCATTTATAACACGTGTTGTGTGTTTTGATTTTCTTCAGGATTAAGAACGAAAATAAGAGTACAACACTGAACAGCTGACCAATCAGGTGTGACGTACCCATCCTCCATGCCGGGCTGCAAGTAGAGGTGAGCGTGAACCGGACGCAGCCTCTGGATGACATGAATACACAACCTCTGGAACATCTGGAGGACAGAAGCAGGCGAGAGTCAAATGTGTGTTTGTGACATGAGACAAGATGACGGTTGAACTTTGATCATTAAAACTTTAAACATTAAATACATTTTAGGGGGAAACTAGGAACAGGAAGGAAAGACAGAAACGAGAAATGTGGAACATTATGTATCAATAAAGTTATATCAGATAAATAACTCACTTGTCTAACAATCTGATTGGGGCACTTTATGAGGATCTGCATCGGCCACCAGTTGTCATCAGCCATGCGATCCAAAAACCACTGAAACAGAAGCAAGGTGAAACTAAAACACTGTACAGTACATAACACCAAAACAAGAAAATCCTTCAGCACTGAGGTAAAATATTTGTCAAAGCTGTGATCGCACCTCGCAGGCGGCCTGACTGTTGTTGAACTGTTTGGTCAGGAGTTCAATCCACTGCAGCATTGTGGGCTGGAGGTTACAGAGCAGGAAGGACACACATCAGTCAGTTTGTCTTCAGGCTTCAGAGTTTCAGCAGTCAGACACCAAATGCCCTTAAATACAGTGAGTGTGATTTACCTTCTCCTTGGAGTGGATGAAAGTCTCAAGGACAAACGATGTGCTGAGCTGCAAAGACAAGAACATTTACAGTAAAGAAATGAACTTCATGTGTTGTCGTGATCTGTTGTGGTGGTCCCTGAATAAATTCCTTAGAAGTAGATGTTTGTGAACCCAACAAAGTGAAAGAGTTCTTGCTGGAGACTGGGACCTACTCTGTTCACCCTGTACATGCTACCCTCGGGACACATAATAAGTCATCACAACATCTCCTTCCACAGCTACGCAGATGATACACAGCTCTACCTGTCTTTTCGACCCACTGACACCAGTTAATCAGCTTCTCTTCACAGTTGCTATACGACCCAAAACGTCTTAAAATTTAACTCTGAGAAGACAGAAGTTCTCATCATTGGCCCTGAACATATCTCAAAACTAATTCAGCCACTCGTCAGCCGCCTCACTACGAACATAAAATCAGGTGTAAAAAATCCAGGTGTTATTCTGGACAGTGATTTGAGCCTGGAGCAACATGTAAACGATGTGGTTCAGTCTTGTTTTTACCAGCTGAGAAACATCTCCAAATGTAGGGTCACTTCTGTCCTTCAGTATCACAGAGGAAGTCATACATGCTCTTTTATCCTCCCACCTTGATTACTGTAATGCCTCGTTGACCTGCCTAAACAATCGAGCTATGCATCAGCTCCAAATTGTTTAAAATTCAGCAGCTAGACTTGTGTAAAACAAATGAACCTCCTTCCAGTCTCTTTCAGGATCCGTATAAATTTCTTTGAATCACATACAAGGCTCTCAATGATCTGGTACCAGAGTATATAACCGAGCTTCTCACACCGTACCGTCCAAACAGCCCCTCAGGTCTGCTAGTTTGGGTCTTCTAACTGTTCCAGAGTCCAGGTTAAAGACAAAGCCTTGATCGAGCCTTTTCAGTTCTTGCTCCTTGGCTTTGGAAAAATTAATTGTATGTACGGGAGTGTATGAATGTATGCAGCCATGTGTATATGTATGAATGCTTACAGGTATATTTGCGTTTAAGTGTTTATGTTAGTGTATATGCTCATGTTTTATAAGTATCACTTTTGTTTTGTATTTTATTCACTTTGGAAAGAACATTATGGTTTCAGCTGGAAAAGTGCTCTACAAATTAACTTATTATCATTATTATAATTATGATTATTATTGTTAAACAAGCTCTGCAGAACATATTGGGCATACAATTAACACTGGAGCCAAGTTTTTCATTCTAAATTTACATCTTGACAAATATCTTGCATCAAACAAAGATACTGCTGCCTTAAATCTCTGTCTACTGCAAAAACAGTCGCACCGCTTGCAAAAAGACCGGTACACTAAAGTTGATTATTTGGATTAAGGAATTACTCAAAACTCTACCTTTAGAGAAGATTACATACATTATTAACGGGAAACAATCGCTCTTTGAAATCATTTGCCATCCTTTTATACAATATATGGAGAATATTACTAACTAAAAAACATAAAACGCAGAAAAGAAGTTGTCACAACTCAAGCAACCAGGGAATTTTTGCTAAAAAAAAAAAAACACTTAAATAATTAACAGATTATCCAAATTGTCAATTAACTTCTTGGAAACCCACTTTTTAGCTCTAGGCTCAAATCTCAAGTTGCAAAAAGTGTTTTTTTTTTTATTGCTAAGAAGCATCATTTTGTTTTTCTTAATTACCATAACCATGTTTAATTTTCAAAATAACATCCTACAACTGCCCTTTAGTGTCAAACCTGACAATAAAGGTAAAAAATGTTTGAACCTGTACTACTTCTCACCTTAGCAGTCATGAGGGAGACGACTTTAGGGTCTGGTAGAGTGCTGGGGATGCTGCTGCAGAGCTGCCACATGAAACTGAAAACAAAAATAAAAGCAATTAAAAGCAACGGTGGAAGGTGATCGGTTTATTCTGTCATAATGCCCAAGTAACGGGTCTGCTACTCACCCAAAGTAAGTGTGTTCAAATATATTTTTATCCTGGAGAAACTGCATGTTGTCGTGCCAAATCCACTGAAAGAGACACAGATGTGTAAATTGAATAATATAATGAAATAAATGCATACTTAGTTACAAAATTCAGACTTAAAAAGAGAAAAAAGTAAACCCACGGTACCTCCAGCAGGTCAGGAGAGACATCAAAACTAAAGTCCTTCCCGTTCTCCTCCTCCAGCTCCACCCTCTTATAGAAGAGCATGTAGGCACTGTGTGTCTGCAAGTTCAATTAATGCTTCGTTATTACCTTTTGGATCATTTGTGGTAAAAGAAAATAAATAAAAATAATAAAAAAACAGCCTGGAAATCATGTTCACCTTCTCAAAAGAGAAATCCATGAACTTGTCCGTGACAGAGTCGTAGGTTTTCGTCTGAAAGATAAAGTAATGTCAGTGAAATCCAACGTGACTGATAAATTAATGTTTCATTTTCCTCTGACTGCAGCTCGTACCGTCATTTCTCCACCGAAGCACTCGGAGGCCAGCTGGGCCGAGTCAAACGGCTTCACCTCAGCATCGTTGAACAGGTACCTGCAAGAATGTTGCTTTTACATCCAACTGCACAACTTAAAATTGTAACTGCTGTCACACTCAGTTCCTTAAATCTGATCATTATTTTCAGTTCACGTGCTTCTGCCCTCACCACTTGTTGTTCTTGTAGGCGTGTGGGTTGACGATGTCTCTAATGAAGCTGTAGTAATGGCCACCGTCTGCTGTGCCCGTGTGCACCGTGACGCCGATGAGGTCGTACTCGTAGCTCTCCGTCACTTTTGCTTCGCCCTCTTCCCGAAAACCTGCAGCATTAACCAGACACGGCTCAGAAACTGTATTTTCTTCCATGACATAAAACACAGATTTTCAGAAACTATTTCGTCTTTTTAATAAAACTGTCGTTCTCACATTGGGTCTGTTTGGTGTTTCTATTAAATTTTTCTCTTGTAAAAGTCAGGTAACATAAATTTGGATTTATACATCGTCTCTGATGTGTGACCAGACTTTGTGAGTCTTCATTTAAAAAATGTACCTTTCCTTTTAGAAAATATATGGTAGTGTTAGTGGTTAGTGTTTCCCTTATCCTTTAATTTAAAACTTTTACTGCAAATTGAATTTTAATTTGATTAAAAAATAAATAAATAAATAAATACAATATAATTTTAAGTTTTATTTATTATTTTCTTTTATCCTTTGTGATTTTTTTGCTGTTATTTTTTAATTAATAACTTTTCACCTAGAATTTGTTATCACTTTTGCCATTTATATTTATTTTTTTAATCTTCATTTATTATTATTTTTCTCTTATCCTTTATTGTGATTTTTGCTGTTAAATTATGTTTTGTTTTGTTTTTTGGTAAATAATTACTTTTTCTTGGATTTTTGCATCACTTTTGCCATCTCTATAAATTTAATTTTTTATCTTTATTTTTTTTTATGATTTATTGTTAGTGTAACTTGTGTTTTCTTAATTAATTTTTACGTAGATTTTTGTATCACTATTATTAGCTCTCTGTTTTAATTTTTATCTTTCTTTAATATTATTATTTTATTCCTTATTTATTTTTTACTGTAAATACTTTTTTAAAATGTCTTTTAATTTAATACATTTTTACTTCATCATAATCATCATCATCATCATCATTATTATTATTATTATTATTATTATTATTATCATCATCATCATCATCATCATCATTATTATTATTATTATTATTATTATTATTATTATTATCAATTTTTTATTAACATCTTTTTTACTTATTTTTTTTCTAATCGTTTTATCTCTCCATGTATAGAAGTATTTTTGTTTTTTGTTTACTTGTCTGGACACGGGCTTTAAAACTCAGACACTGATTAGCAGATTTACGTCCTGTATGCTCTGAAAATTTCAATTCACAAAAATGTGGGCAAAAAAGAAGTGATTGTCAAAACCAAGACTTAGAGTGTATCCAGTGTTTTGTGATGTCTGGACAAACCTTCTTTGCGCTCTCCTTTGCCCATGAGGAAGTCCTCAGTGTAGGGCGTCATGTCGAGACGCAGCGGGAAGGAAAAGTGGGTGTTGACCTTCTCCTTCATCATCGTCACCATGTTGAAGGTGTATCTCATGGTGTTGAAACTCAGGATGCGTGGCAGCTTTTTGAAACACGCTCTGTGGGAGGAGAGACGAAGGATGCAGTGAGACAGACGGAGATTATCAGACACGTTTAAAGCATGAAAACGTATCAAACTACAAGATTTCTAAAACAGGTTTTCACAGATTTTATTTTTCTACATGACCCACAGACCTTTTCTCCGCGCGGACCTTCTTGCCACACTGGGAGCAGGTGTACATGTTGTCGCCCTCCAGCGTGTCCTTGATGGTGACCTCATCCAGAGATTCCTGAAGAAAGAGAACAAAAAGAAACAGTTCTGACTTTCTGCAGGATGGTACATTTGGTAAGCGTGAAAAGGCTTTGAGAAACATTTTTCAGAGCTAATACTGATGTGTTTCAGAGACTCACGTAGATGTTCTTCATGTCGGCCACCTGACACCTTACTGTGTAAAACTCCTCTGCAGTCTGACTGACGTGATCACAGTCCTGCAGGACAAACGGCACAAAGTGTCACTCAAACTCAAATTTGAAATTCACCATTAGGTCAACTTTGTAACTCCTGAATGAGACCATGAGATGAGAGTAGTTTAACCCCTGGCACTACGCTAGGAAAATGCTAAGCTTCTTTTGATGTTCAGACTCACCAGAGAGACCACATTGTTGGTGATGACGCCTCCAAACAGAGTCTTCACTGTGTTTTTCTGAGAGAACAAATAAGGTGACATTCGTTAATACAGTTGTTCACATTTTCATTCAAACTTTAACTTAAAACAAAACTTGTTTGCTTCTCAAAATCTTCCTAATGTGCATGTGTCCTTTTTGCATATGTGCTTTTTTTTCTTTAACTCTGAATGGCCCCATGGCTCGGTTGTCCAGGTACTACTGGGCAGTCATGACACCAACGAAAGAGGCCACAACTGCCACCCAGGCTACTGCAGGTGGCAGTTCTCGTGAGGCTAGTGACCATTCAGTTTGGAGAGGCAGAGGAATGTTGTTTTTTTTTTTTTTTTAATTATATTATTACGGGAGATTTACGGGAAAATACTAATACGGGAGGACGGCGGGAAAGGGGGTAAAATACGGTAGTTTCCCGGCCAAAACGGGAGACTTGACAGGTATGAGCGGGAGCATTATTTGATAGGGTGGTATTGGACTATCAAAATATGTTACCTCTGAAATATTGATTAAAAATGTTAAAATGATATGTCTAAATATGCTGCCATTAATCCTACAGTGGCAGTGAGGTGATTAGTAGTCTTACATGAATGCATTGAGTAGTGGGAGCATTATGTTATAGGGTGTTATTGGACTATCAAAATATACTACCCCCCCACAACACCACTCTAAATGCGAGACAATCAGAGGTCTGAGAAGGGCAACGTGAAAGACAAAAAGCATTAATAACAACTAGAAAGGCAGGGAATCTAAACATGCACCTTTAGCATGTGAATAAGGAAGACAATGATCAGGGCTTCTGAATTTTTTATGACCAACTCCTGTCATCATTGGGTAATTCCGTAATCAGTAAATGTGTTGTCTTTATTCCTACAAAGTGCTGAATTCAGAAACATTATGAATAAAAAATTAAAAACATTTCCACATCATCAGTTTTTTACATCTAAGACCTCTGCAAAATGTTTCAAGATGTAAATCACAAATTAAATAAAAATAGCTTCTGTGTCTCAATGAGGAGTTGTTACTGGTCAGACTTGTGCGAAGTGTGTTTACCAGCTCCTGGGACATCTCCTCTATCTTGGTGATGAGGTCCGTGAAGAACTCCGTCATGTCCTTCTGCTCCCCGGTGTTCAGAGGCTGCTTGTCCATCGTGTAGGTTTTACAGAACGGCCGCGGGTTGTATGCTTTCCTCTCACTCTCCTGAACAGTCAAAGGAGGAGGAAATGGAGAGTTTAGATGATGTAACAGTTGTGTGGTTGATTCAGACTGTCTGAACCTTTTTTAATTTCACCAACAAGGAAGAAGCAACATTTTGCATGTTACTTTATGGACATGTGCTAAATCAAAATTCTGTTTTCACTATATGAAGGGGTCACAGGAAATTAGGGCTGCACACAGATAAAAATTCCTAGTCGCCCAACAGTCCTCATCAGGGTCCATCAGTGGACCAACAGTCCTCATCAGGGTCCATCAGTGGACTAGTCTCCTGCATGTTTCTGATATGAATGTAATGATTAAATGATATATTTTGGTGGTTTGAGTTGAAGGTGTGAGAAAGAATAGTATCAGTAACATTGTTAACACTGTGCTACATTACAGAGAAATACAAACCGTACTAATGAACCTTCATTAATATAGGCCTATATTTTATCTCCAAGTGCACGTCACACACTGAGCGAGCCGCCTGTTAATGACGCTGTGGGCTAATGGGCATGTAGCTACTTCCATGTTTCAGATGATACGTCATGTTTGTAGTCGACCAATGAAGATGAGTTTACATATCACCTTGGGTTCGTCCTTCACCTTCTCAAAATGATCCCACACTTTGGATTTCCTGCCCGACATGTTATTAACTAGCCTGTGGAATAACTGCAGGTACCAGCCCTGGAAATTAACCTGACTCCTGTCTGACTGCTGAGCGTGGACACTTCCTGTGTCTGTCTTTCACATTAAAGTCACACATGGTCCAGTCATATAGGTTTGGATTTATTTTGACAAGGCGCAGCTCCTGATAGAATTTCATGTTTGTTTGTTTGTTTGTTTGTTTGTTTTCTGTAACTAAGCAACTAATGAGATCTTTCTGGTCAACGATTACAAGGCAGCCCTACAGGAAATGCAATGTGTTTGTCAGTGAGATTAGCACCACCACTATCATTCATCAAAAGTGCGTCTACAAAACAAGATAATGGCCATTTTCGACTTTTGCTGACGATGAATCAGTTTGAAATATTGCAGGGAGCAAAGGAGCAGTTGTGGACAACAGGCATCCAACCTCCAACTTCTTAGTCATGTAACCAACTCCTTTTTCCTCATTTATGTTGTTAAGCTCCCTATTAGCATTAGCATTGGATTTAAATCCAAAATATTGACAACAAATCTTCCGCCATCATCATGTCGGTCAGCTCTCTCAGTAGTGTCCATCATTTCACTAAATATTTTTAAAAAAGAAATTTAAAAAATGATGGTGGGGGCAATGGCAATGGTGTGAGTGAAGACAATTTGCTTTAAAGGAAGATTTCACTTTCTATGGTCCTGGAAAAAGTTGTCTATCAAACTGTGTCTGGGGGATCGCTGGTGGCTTAGTGGTAGAGCAGGCGCCCCATGTACAAGGCTGTTGCTGCAGCGGCCCAGGTTCGACTCCAGCCTGTGGCCCTTTGCTGCATGTCATTCCCTCTCTCTCTCCCCCCTTCACGCATGTCTGTCCTATCCATTAAAGGCTAAAAAACCTCAAAAAAAAAAAAAAAAAAAACTTTACAAAAAAAAACAAAAAAACCCCTGCTGACGAAAGACTTTAAGAAGTATCACGAAAACATCCAAAACATTTTCTGAAAAACTCCTGAGCAGCATTTCTCAAAGTATCAGATTTTGGGTGTGTTTACTCGTAGGGTGTAGCCAGTCCGTCAGAGAAGGAAATGCTTTGTTCAGCATTAGTTCAGCCCAAATATGGATAAAAGACACTTGGATAATGCTGCACGGGAATTTTCAGCAAGATTTTCAGACATTTTATAACCTTTTTTGTTGCTTTTTGTTCAGCCTTCGTCAAAGTCCTTTGCACTGATATGCTCTCAATTTTTGGGTGCTCCGCTCTTCTTAAGGCTACTCGATAGAAAACTTTTTCTGGAACCACAGGGAGCCTGGGGAGGTAAGACCCATATACAATTTGTATTGTTTTGGGTGAACTATTTCTTTAAGTTCTGTTTGAGCCTCACAGTGGGTTTCGATAAAAAACTGAACTGCACTTGAGTCTAGGGCTGCCTATGCTGTTTTTGACATTCACATTTACATATTTAAGCGTTAACGTTTTAACATGCAATTGTTTGACATCCGACTGCTCTTTCACAAATCTTTAAGATGATGATGAACACATGTTTTCATGATTTGTTTCACTGATCTCTGTGGCGTTAATAAAATGCAAAGTACAGGATGACTTTAAGGACAGTCAGAGGAACAGATGTAAAACTCACCATGAGATATGTGAACATCTTCTGCAGCTCCAGCAGCGTGGTCTTATGTTTGATATCCTCCGCGTACTGCGCGCACGCACACACACACACACACACACACACACACACACACACACACACACAAGATGAGAATCCACATTCTGTGTTGAATGTGAATGATGCTCTTTTGGGGTGTTCTGCCCTCAGTTTGTCTTGCAGGTGCTGACCTTGGCAGTGAAGACGGCCTGGCGAGCCTCAGGGATCATGTAGAGCTGCTGGATGGTGGAGGCCAGGTAACAGGTTGCTCCCAGGTTAGTCAGACCCACGAAGCGGCACTCAGCCCGAACGTCATCGTGGGGCCAGTAGTCCCATTTATACGGAGCATGAGAAGCTGGAGGAAGAATACCACATGACGGATTTAATGTTCAGCGTGTGTATCAGAGGCTTTTCGGGTGTACCTGGTGGCACTTTTGCCAGAAAGCACACGTCCCTGTAAAACCTACGCTAATCACCATTTCTTGACATTAACTTGTGAGTGTCATGTTGAGCAGATTGTTATCTCACCAACTCTGCAGCTCTGGAGCTTTTCAGCCATTTCAGCTCACTGTTGTAGTTTTAAAACACGTTAACTGTGTAGTTCATTGAGGCTGTCCCAGTCTCTCCAGCATCATTCCCACCAGAGGGACAATGTCTCACAGAAACTGGATTCACTGTAGCAAAGCTCAAATTGAGTCAGATCATTGTCCCTGAGGACTTCTGACACAGAGTGTAGCTTGCAGAAGAGTTTCCTACTTTTATAATCAAGTGCATATTGGACCATTAGGTGGACAGAGCTGGTCATACAGTGTTGTGTGTCTGTCAGCTTGTTTGAAGTTTTTAACCACCTAAGTGGACAAAATCACTCGATGCAGCTTCAAAGGATTTATTCTGAAGGAAATCGACCTCAGTCCAAAATATCTGCATTTAATTTAGGTGGTTATCGATGATATTAGTGAGTCAAGTTTAGTCAAGAGTACCTTGAGTTTATTTTTTGCCTTGCATTGGTTACTAAGGTCTTTGGTGCAACGGTCCAGCGATTCTTGAAGTATAAGACCAGGGCAAGGGGAAAACCAGAAATACTTAAGTGAACATTTAAAGGAACCCTTAAGGAGTAGACTTAAGGGTGTTTTGGGCAAACAATTTTATTTTAAAGAAATCTTGGATTTTAAGGAAAATCTTCACTGACTGTGTTTTGTGCAACCGGTCCCAGGTTCTGCTGGTAACAAACTAACCAATCAAAAAGTGTATTAACCAGCGTCCTCACCTTGCATGTGCTGTGACATGACCCAGTTGTGGAGCAGCCGGTAGTTCTCCACTGAGCCCTTCACCGTCTCCACCAGCAGGTCGTAGGCAGCGGCCCGGGCAGCGTGGGACTTGCATTTCGGCTGAGCCCTGTCGGCCAGGCTGGGCAGGAGGAAGAGGAGGTTGTGGACGTCGCGCAGGAACTCCTGACCCTCGCGGGAGAACTTGAAGGGAGGCTTGTGTTTGAGGACACTGGTGGCGAGTCGCAGGAGGCCGGTCAGCCCGTCATCCTCGATCGTGCCGTCCTGCTGGTCTAGGATCTCACGGCTGGAGGAGAGAAGAAGACTGAGGTCACTGCGGGTTGGTGTTATACTTTTCGACTGGACAACATGCTCTACAGTTCACCACAAGTCAGTTTATTTCTTATAGAGCTGATCACAAAGCTTGTTGGTAGAGAGAAGTTGGTCACAGCTCATCACACCTGCAGGCTGTCAATGCACCAAACTATTGCACAGTTACAGTTTACTGTATGTAAAGTTCCGATGTTGAGTGTGCGACAGTCTGACCTCCTGATGCAGTCGGCGAGGTGTCGGGCGAGAGCGTCCAGGTCCAGCAGGGTGGTCTGCATCGAGCCGGCCAGCGACAGAGAGGGAGAGACCTTCTGTGAGTTCAAACAGACCAATACTAGCAACAGCTCAATAAAACATCACACAAACACTACCAACTGTTTTCAATCGACCGACTACAGATCAATATGATCATCAGTACTGTGATCAGTGAGGCTCCCACCTGGCTGGCGTCTTTAACGTGGATGTTGTCGATGAGTTTACAGAGCAGCCAGAAGTATTCCTTACAGCCCGTCCTCAACAGAGGCTCCTCTTCATAGTCCTCCACCTTCAAAACACACGATACCATTAAACTACACCAATGATGGCAAAGTTCACACATTCTGCACTCAGTAAGATCCTCAAAAACTGAAGCAGAGCCTGCATTTCTGTGCTGGATTGCGAGGTCTGCACATAATTTCATCGGCCTTTGCAAATCTAGCACTTATAATCTGGGAAATTTAAAAAAAAAAATGCATGTAAACCTGATGGACCAATGTACAGCACTACTCCTGTGTGCCAAGGGTATAGGACAACTACAATGGTTGATGCGAAAACAAAAATGGCCCTATGTAGAGCCAGTGTTTAGTTTGTCCTTTCTGGGCTACTGTAGAACAACATGGCAGACTCTGTGGAAATGGACCTGCTCCGTATGTAGATACAAATGTCTCGTTCGAAGGTAACGAAGACGCAACAATACTTAAATCGTTAAAATGTGAAGCATTTAAGGGGACGATTCCCCCCTGCTGAAAAATAAATTTCAGGCTCTGTGAAGTTAAATTCTAAATATCAGTCAGAATTTCTGCAGGTTACCACCAACCATCTGCAGCAGGGGTGACAGCCATGATGTGACATTAAGTTAGGGTGGACATTTTTGACTTCTAAGTAGTTTATTTATGGGCACAACCTCTCTGCATTACAGTTTATTAATTTAATCACTACTGCAAACCACTCTACTACAATAATATACCCTAAATTTTATTCTATTTTATATATATATTGAATTGTATTTGTAATATTTAACTTTTGCACTGTTTTATGTCTGAGATTCTGATTTGTGTACATGGGTGATGCCATACACAGCCCTGCCATTGGTTCCATAAGGACAGGGAAGAAGAAGATGCAAACTACAAAGACTGTAAAAATGTCCCCCCCCCCCCCCCCCCCAAAAAAAAAAGCTTTAATGTCTTTTATGAGGAATGAAGTGCTTTTTTGGGACATCAAGGATACACCCAGCAAATTCTGGCAAGTAACACTGAATGTAAACATAACTTTTGCTTGTTTACAAGAGAAAAATTCCACTGGACGTCTTTATTCAGAGTGTGTCCCCGTGTCTCCTGCATTATTCCCACTGGAGGGACAATGTCTCACAGAGACAAACTGGTGTCACTGTAGCAAAGCTCAAATTGAGTCAGATCATCGTCCTCAGAGGACTTCTGACACAGAGTGTAGCTTGCAGAAGAGTTTCCTGTGCATGTGTATTTTCTTCTACTGAGTGTGTGCGAGTGTGTGCGACCTACCCTGAGTGGCTTGAGGGCCTGTGCGTCAGGCAGGAACTTGAGGAGCGTGGAGGCGGCGAGCAGCAGGAAGGACCTGTTGATGGACTCTCCACCCTCCAAACCTGAGAGGGAGAGCTTGTAGAGGCCGTTACATGCCTCGTGTCTCACAGCCGGCTGAAAACAACAAAAACAACACGTCAACAAACTGATAAATATGTTGGTTAACATCTGCAGCTGATTTCTTGGCTCAGCTAACCACATACACTGCGACTCAATCCTGCGATTTGGTGCCATCACTTGGATCAATCAGGCTTCCATACTTTATCCAACTCTTTAGGTATGACATTGACAGCTTTGCAATGCAGAGCACTTGTACCTTGTGCATCAAATTAAGCACTCCCATGTCATAATTAAGATAATATTTATAAGATCTATACGAGACTGATACCTGAAGCTGGTTAGTTTAGATCAAAGACTGAAACAGCTAGCCTGGCTCTGTCCTAAGGTGATAAAATCCATCTACCAGCACCTCTAACACTCCTTAATGAACATGTTACATCTCGTTTATTTCACAAAGTATAATCACAATTTGTCGCTTTTGCAGTTTGGGTTTGTTGGAATTTAACAAACAATATATATAAGGTGTAGATCAGCGGTGTTCAAAAATGCTGGCAGGTGGATTTGTCATTTTTACTGACTTGAGTAACTTTCACCGTAAACTTTTGAGGGACTTGTGGATGTTTGGACCGACTCACCTCAGGCACCAGCAGGGTGAGTTTCTTCAGCCAGTCATGAAGGTGGTCGCTATCGGCTAGACTGGACTTCACTGTGGAGGAGCAGTGAGCCCAGCTCACCAGCAGCCACATGGAGTAGTGAGTCACTGGTGGAGAAAGAAACATCACAGTCATGTCACTGCCAAACGTAACAGCTTAGACGGTTTCCTTTTACAGCATCAGGTTTCGTTGTTTTTATTTGATTTGTTATTGTAGGACAGATGTTGAGGTTTCTTTCCTTTTTCCTTTCAGAATTTTATCATCATGTGTAGATACACATCACGTCTCCCAAATGTTAATGAATCATTTTAAGTTCTCACCTTCGTGACGGGACCGGTGGTCAGACTGAGCCTTAAGAACTCTGTCGAACAGTAAGACAACATGTTAATTATACTTGATGTAATTAGCATTTAAATACCAGAAGAAAATTATTTTGCACTCACCGGTGTGCGAGGTTGTCGTAGGTGTAGGCCACGTTGATCAAACGTTGGATGAGGTTGGTGCCCTGTACCAGGCTGAGAAACACCTGCAAACCAACAGACAGATCAGACAAAGGTCGAGTCCCAGAACAATCACTTCAAAAGCTTCAATAATCAGCTGTTAGTGGTCCAAGCTGGTGGAACATGTACCTCAGTCAGCCGGGGGATGTGCAGACCTTTCCCGTGCTCTACGGTGGACTTGCGGGATTTGCCCGGCCACGCCCGCTTGCGCTGGCTGTCAGCGAGGCCGGACCAGGAGAAGACATCGTGGTAGGCCAGGTCCAGGTCTGCGGGGTCCACTGCAAACTGGCAGATCAACTTCAGCAGGCAGGCCAGGCAGTCCAGCAGCCACTGCAGAGGAGACAGAAAGCAAAATGAAAACCACACTTTGGAACTAAGATCCAAAAAGAAGCTCTAACATGTTTGGAAACAAATAAATTGAACAACTCATTCCAAGATTAATCTTTCCCCTGAAAATTTCACTCAAAGCGAGGTAGTCTCTCTCACCACGGTCCAGGACTCCTGGTCTTTGGGCTCCAGGATGCCTGAGTTGAAGATTTCCAGGAGCAGCTGGAGGCCTCCCGACGAAACAAACTGGAGGACAGAAACAAAAAGACTGAATCTGACTGACTCCGTTCACATGCACATTAACATTCCATATATGATACTATTCCAAACTAAATACGTAAACTGCAAGTTCAATGTGGATAGTTTGTCAGTGTTGGATCAGTTAAGTTTTTCTGTCACAGATGTGCGCTGTCTTCTACCTTGCAGCTCCAGGTGTTCTTGCTGTTTTCTATCTGATCCTCACTGGAGTCATCAGAGTCTGGATACAGATCACTGTAGCTGCCCTGAAAACACAGAGACACAAACACACACAGAGTAAGATATACAAACTCTTCAAACAAGTGCAGCTGGAGAATGTTTTTATGTTTCACTGTCGTAGCTAAGGTTGTATGACTTCAATATATTGCTCATTCTGCCTTCACATTGTACAAAGGAAAGAAATCTCCAGAACAAATGACAAAACCATGTAAAAAACATCCTTTTAAAAATAAAAGTTAGGTGTGTTATTCCTCACAGTGGACTCTCGGTGGATGCGTCGGTTGGGTTTGCCCAGAGCCTCAATGATCTCCAGAGCGTACAGCAGCTTGTGGGCACTTTTAATTCTAAGCAGCTCCTTCCAGCACAGACCCTCCCCATTCTATACACACAAAAACAAAATGAGTTATTCGCCGTTTGATACAAAAACACACGTCACAATTTGAATTTGCTGGGGCTTCTTCTATTTCCTCCTCCTGCATGATTAGAAATTGATCTCTGAGTTTCCTCTTCTCTATGTATGCTTGTTGAATGTTGAAAAAACACCTTTGCTTTTTGATTCTGAGAGACTGACACCACAAATGGCTGTTTAGTTATCGAGCCATTAGCTCACAGATGTTGTTCAGTGAGTGTGGTTGACTGACCGTGTCGTCTGAGATGTTCTGGAAGGCCTGAAGCATCTTGGGACATGTAGGAAGCAGCATCAGCAGCTCCCAGACCCGACGAGACAGATTCTCTGCATGGAGGTGAAGCTCCTCACACCGTACACTCTGCATGGACACACACACACATTAATGAAATCCTTTTATAAAAAAGCCTGTGTAATCTTTCTGTGCTCATTATAAGTTTCTCTGCAATACTTAAAGCATGACATAAAAGTTGAAGGTTCCCTCCTTCAATCACACCCACCTCAGGGTTTTCATGGACCTTCTCGGTGTTGGCGCTGGGCGGTTTGAAGCATGCTAGCATCTCCAGCAGGTCAAACAGCGTAGTGAGGTGTGGCTCCTGGAGGAGCAGCAGCATGGGGATGTGCTCCTTCTGGGGAGGAGGCAGGCAGGAGGCCGGCAGCTGGACGCCCTCCCCTTTCCTCTCCCGCCGAGGAGCTCCCAGAGACACGAACACCATCTGGGATTATAAACAGACAAAGATGACATCAGCGATAACTCATCTGTGTTGTAGATTTCAAATGACAACACAACTACAAGACATTATTATAGTTTTACCACATAATTGGGGGAAAAAAATCTAAATGCAAATTTTCGGACTGGGAAAAGTTATAATCAATTATAAAACAAATATATTCCATTTAAACCAAAGTACGCGACCAAACTGTGCTCTGTCTTGTTGTTGTTTTTTTCCAAGTACTGACAAACATGAGGACAAAAACACAGCAGTCACCTGCATGTCTTTGAAGCCCAGCTCATGCAGAGTCTTCTCGTCGTAGTCAGTGGTCAGCTCGTGGCCAGAGGAGATCATCCGCACTGGTCCCATCAAACCCCCTGCATGAGACAAGAGACTTCACACACAAGCTCACACACAGCATAAAACGAGGGGGACCCACCGACAGTGTGACCTGTTTGTAGGTAAACAAAAACAGGGAGAGATTCTGAGCGAGCTGACCTGGGAAGTCTCCTGGCTGCCGGCCGCTCTGGCCGAACTCCTGCAGCTGAGCCTGCTGGTTCATCTGCTCCTTCTGCAGGTTCTCGTACCAGTGAGTCACCTCAGCTCGCAGGTCTGCTACCTGGTCGCTGGGGTACATCTCGATCGTCATCTGCAACAACAGAGGTTACGTGTACTGATGTAACAGCCTGATATTTAAATTAAATTAAATTAGACTGATCCCTACTGTTAACCAGTTTATATTTTTTATAACTGGTTCTGTTCACCTGTTTTGGCACTGTAATTACAGTATATATTCTAGATTAGCACCTTATTTGGCCCTTGTTTTCTCATCCTACACCATGTTCACACTAGATGCTGAAGTGCAGTAATGACAATTATTGTGTACCAGTGTAGATTTGTCACCTTGTCAGGAAGGCCAGCGGGCTGACAGACGATCCTGAGCGGCAGAGACTGTTTGTCGCTCAGAGCCTTCAGGTGGCTGCTGATTCCTGTTCCCTCGATCTGCCACTGTCGCAGGTGGTACGCAAACCTGACAGGGACAGAAAACAGTGTGTTGTTGAGATAATTAAATGCAGTCTGTGTTTATATTAATATCCATTTATCTCCTGTTGACCTTCCTGGTGTGTGCGTACCTGCGTCGAAAGGCCTCCAGGTGTGTTTTGAGCATGAGCAGCCCCCTCTCGATGCTGGTCAGGCTGGAGTGGGCGTCCTTCTCCAGGTTGGCTGAAGCCATCAGCAGACTTTCCATACACTTCCTGATAAACTCCTGCTCCTTCTCCAGACCCGTCTTACCAGCTGGAGATGTCAACATACAAAGACACGACGCAGGATGGTGGAACTTTTAATGCATCTTTTAAGATCAATCAGTCAATCAATTTTATTTATAAAGCCCAATATCACAAATCACAATTTGCCTCAGAGGGCTTTACAGCATACAACATCCCTCTGTCCTTTGACAATAAAAGTAGTTTTCTGTTTATAAGTGGAAAAAAGCCAAAGAAATATATGTTCAAGTCGTAAAACATATAAATCCAAACCTGAGTTTGTCTACACAACCTTTCTAAAGCTGGTAATCTCAAATGCTACCACACCACGTCACACAGATACATCTAAAAGCGGAGGACTTGGGCAGTATAAGTCATGGAAAATGAGAACCCTGCAAGTTTTCCATTTGTATCAAACATCAAATAAGTTTGAGCTTATTTGCCTGACTTGACATCAGGGCTGTGCCTTATCATCTCGTTCACGATAATACCGGTAGATTTTTTTTTTTTTAAATCATAAAATTCATATTGTGATACTCATGATAAACTTCCGGTTTTCCTGCTTATTGTCATATTGACGTCATACTAAATACCCTGAAATATTGAGATATTATTTCAGGGCCATATCGCCTGCCCCTACTTGACGTTGCACGTCCTTCAATGCAACTGCTGCACATTGCAATGTTGATGCTGAAATGATACATCATGCAGCCCTAAGGTGACGCATATTAGAGCTACGTTATGTCAACAGCTAACTTACAGAAAATAATTTTACAGTTTAGTTACATTATGTGGAAGTTTATCCCCAGAACTTCACTGTAACAAATAATTTCATTACACGCGACAAAATTCAGTGAGTTTTCCAAAACTTTCGATGATTTATACTAATTCCATGACATTTCCAGGCCTGGAAAATGAGACCGTGAAATTCCATGACTTTGCCAGGTTTTCTGTGACCATGGAAACCCTGTAACTCAATACTTAGAGTCGAGCTAATCTGCTGTGGTTCAATAATTATCGAGGGTCACTTGAACCTACGAACAATTCTCTCCCGTCATGCAACACTGTGGGGACATAAACTAAATGGAAGTTTAAATCATGTCATTCTGTTTCTTTTGAAGTCTAAATAATACATTGTGTGTCTGAATTATTCTGTTTATCTCTGTCAAAATATCATGAAAGGTAAGAAGAAAAACATCAATATAACAGCAGATTACAAACTTTTAATGGCAGTGTAGAGATTTAATATTCAGCTGTTCAGCTTTTTGATTCATGTATGTGACACTGTTTGATATTAGCATGCAGGTCTGTAAAGTGTGTGTGTGTGTGTGTGTGTGTGTGTGTGTGTTTTCAAATTGTAAATGATGGAAGCAAACAAACCGTTGATGTAGTAGGAGTTGATGTACTGGATGGCGGCACGGCTGATATCTGCAGACTGAGCTCTAAGAGCGATCCCCCACAGCTGGTCCATCCCACATAGCTGCACACACACACACACACAAAGTCTGGGATTTAACTGTCTGTCTACTCTGAAGCACTTTTCCCTTTCACACATGAAGCACACAACAGGAGATTGCCTGTGTCAGACCCATTTCCATCTACTGGAATTACTCGCCTGGGTGGAGCGTGCAGGAGGCAGAACATAATGCAAAGAGTGCGCTGCAGAAGTCGCAGTGTTTTGTTCATGAATTGGTCATAAACGACCACGTCTCTGGCCATTCCTTGAATTTGTCTGATGATTTTGGCGTCTGCCCTTACAGACAGCAGCTCCCTAATCTCTTTTTCTCTCCAGTTGGCAATTTTCATTGAGATCTTCATGTAAATGACCCTTCTACTTCGCCTTCTGATATTTGTATTATTCCAGTTTTTCATATTAGATTAGTCATTAACAAGCCCACTCGCTTCCTGTGAATTCTCCAGACAGTGTCGTCCATCTATGCTTTATTCATTCATGGGCTTAAACAGATATTATTACGCAGACTTTGTAGTGAGCTGGCAGGGTAAGATCTGTTTAATGTCCGGTCCAACTGATACTGACGTTTGCACTCTCACATACAGCTCTTCTGGGTAATGTCCAAATAAATTTAGGGTTGCAGTGCATGTGTGAAACAGGCTTGATCAAAATGGCTCATGAGTCTCAGGGTGACTGTTTACAAACTGCACCAAGAAAAACTGATTTATATAATACAAATAAATATAAAGTTATTAAAGGTTTTTAAAATGCCATTTTGATAATGAAGCTTGAAGTTCAGAGGAGTTTCTGTACCTCACAGCTGGAGGCGTTGTCCAGTGCGCTGGTGGCGAGGCGGGCGAGGTTACAGAGGTGCTGAAAGAGGTTGAGGCCCGTCATGCTGATCGTCTCTGGCTTCAGCTGGGGCATCTGGAGACACACACAGTTACATTAACACACACATAAACACAAACAAAGCAACATCAACACACAGCTGCTCTTGTGTGCTGCTGTTAGTGTGTCTCCACTCCTAAAGTCGCTGAAAGAGTCTAAGAAGACCTGAACGATACGATAAGGCGCCCCCCCATGCTGTAGTGCATTTGTGTTCTTCCCCTCATCCCTACCTTCTCAAGGAAAAGATGTTTGTAGGTCTCCATGCCCATTGCATGTTGGTCCTTGCTGCGGACCTGATTGAGGAACCAGTGCAGGGCGTCGTCGTAGCACTCGGCGTCCTCCACCAGGCAGTGCCACAGGATGTCCACCTGCTCCAGACTCAGTCCTGAAACACACAAACACACACAGGAGTTCAATCAAACATGGCTCCCATGCTTTGATATTTAGTACAACTCAAACCGGTTCCCAACATGGGTTCTGGACCTCAAAGGACCTCTTTGAATACATACTCGGGTAATGACGAGTTAAAGAAAAATAATATCTGATCACAAAGCTATGTTTTTAAGGTTGATTTTTGTGTTAAATACTAGATACTTTCACCTCTTAATGTCTATAAAATTCCTCAAAATGAAAACTCAGACAGTTATCGTTGACAAAACTCCTAAAAACTCAAGTCCACACTACAGCCATAACCTGTGACTCTATCAGTGGACTTTGCTTCATTTAAAGAGGCCATGAGTCAAAAAAGGTTGGGGTAACAAGGTAACAACAACAATTTTTTAACCAACCAGGGTTTCTTTATGTCTAATTCTATGATACTTAAAGACTCAACATTTATCGGAGAGATCAAGAACAAAAAAATGAGCAAAACTTGGGATTTAAAATGCAACAATGAGCTACAAAGAAAAAACAAAAATGGCAAAGATGAATCAGACAGACAGACTCTATCTACCTGGTACAGTTTGGTAATGTTAGAGCAAACCGGTACAAAAGGCCTTTAGGTTTCAGTCAAGGTGAAAACACATCCTGCTTTCTGCAGTCCGTGTTTTAGAAACTGAGGCTTTAAAATGAGCTAAATTTAGATAAAACTTGAATGATCCCTGAGGGTGATTAAACCCGTCTAAATCTGGTGAAATACTACTGGACATAGGTTATATTTTCTCCTCATCAGTGTTACGTCATTCTCTCTCACATGGCCAGACAGCGGGGGCATTGTTCTCAGTGGGGCAGCTCAGGTTGCATAATGAGGTCTATTTTAGCAGCGCTCCCCAAAGAGACTCAAAGAGAAACCAAACACACATGAAGAGTTCATTTCCAAACTAATGTTAAATACACCAGTGTTGGGGACGCCAAGCAAAACTACCGTAAACCTGTTCGTGCACATTTAAGCCAAGTCACTAAAAATCACATTCTGCTTCAAATCTTTGAAACTACTATGAGATGTTAATGTGATTTTCCAACTTCCTGGGGGCACTCATTGCTTCCTTCTCAATACAGCACCAAACGTGCAGACACTTGAAATGTGCTAAGTAGCGCTGCTGACAGTAAAACCAGTGGATTATCAAGAGAAACTACAATTTTCCAGTTATTTTGCATTATAATGTTGGCTCTCAATCATTTTCAATATTGCGAGCACCACAAATGAAATACCATTGACCTCCATTGTCTTAGGAGTAGGGTTGCAACGGTATGAGATTTTCAGGGTAACAAAACCATCTCACTTTGAACAAAAGTTTTATTACTATAATTAAAACTTGAAACTATTTAATTATTGGAAGTTTGTGTAAAAAGTCTCCCCTTTGAAAAATAAGTAGAGTAAAGGGGAGATTCTCTTTGTAGTTGCTTTTTTCAATATCGTAGATAAGCAAATGTACATAGTATGATGACCGTCAGCTTTTATATCACAATATACCACCATGTGCATTTATTTGTTTGTTATTTTTCATGTTATTTAATGTTTTCTTATTATATAGGTTACGTTTATTCTCAGTTATGTGTCATTATCACTATTCTACTTGAAAATATACTGAAGTTCAAGTGTCTTTATGGTGTTTATAGCCAGGGATTGAACCACCGATCATCCAATTAGTGGAAAACCCTTCCTACCTTCTAAAGTGGGATTTATACTTCTGCGTTGAATCGATGCCGTAGCCTGACGTGCAGTTCCCCAGAAATGTAACTACATGTCGCAGCGACGCAGACCTCTTGTCTGTTTCTGTAAGCTGAAACCATTTCCCTCAGTGGAAACAAAGCGTTTATTGTGAAGACAATAAAACCTCCACACACTGCGTGAGATTTATCCTGGCTTCATATGAGTAGAGGAAATCTAAGCTAGCCACTAGGCTAATTTATACAATGTAATATGCCATAGACTTGTGCTAATAACGTTAGCATGTTATATTTGCTTGGAAAACGTGTTTAGTATAAGACAGCTGTTTTGTCAGTGAACCTTGTGAGTTGTAATGGAGCCGAATTTTGTAACATTACCTTTGTTAAATGTTGCTGTTGTCCCTGGCTTCATATGAGTAGAGAAAAAGTCTACTAGCCACTAGGCTAATTAATACAATGTAAAATATCATAGGATTGTGCTAAAAACATTAGCATGTTGTGTTTGTGGGGAAAATGTGTCCAGATAAAGACAAGTGTTTGTCTGTGAATGCTGCGAGTTATAGTGAAGCTGATTTGTGTACTACTTAGTTGCTATTAAGCCATGTTTAATGTGTGTTTAGGATGTGTTTTGAATCAACTAAACTTTACAGCACTTCACAGAAACCCTGCCGCTGACTAGTGTTTTGGAGGCGTTACTGCAGTGACACAGACACACCACCACACAAGTGCAAATGCTCACAACGGCGTAGGTATAGAGTATAGTATAAATCCGCCTTAAGCCACAGCCGCCAAATATATCTATACTTTATATGTACAATATATCTTCTTCTTAATCTAAACTGTTACTCTGAGCAGAATAAAAGAAGCTGAATCTTACTGAAGTGGTCTGGAGATCCCAGTGTGGAGAAGACACAGGTGAGGAACTGCAGACGGACCTGGACCTCCGCACTATGGCTGTACCTTCAGCGACACAGCAAAGAGAGACGTGTCAGTATTATCAGTTACAATTTCTAAACAGAAAAAGAAAATTAAAATTATAAATTTTAATGAAACCTATAATGTTGTCGCAGAGATAAGTGTCTCTGTTGCTGCTCTATGAGTGACTGTTAATCAGCTTGTGTCCAAAAGGTGTTTTACTGTCCAAGTACTATGTCTGGAGTAACCATAGGGAACCTGGTATTTAATGAGTGGTGATGAAGCTCTTACAGTGCAAACTTGTGCCGGTGTTCTCGGACTTCCTGGATGTAGTGCTGCAGGTTGTCGAAGAACAGCTTCATCATGTGCAGCTCCTTCTCAGCCCACCTGACCAAACCAACAAGCAAATCAGAACTACACTCATGAAACAAGACTGTTTCCTCTTCATTTTATTTAAAAAAAATAGATTTAGGATTAATTTAACATCATAAGACCAGCAGCAAGTTTAATAAGCATACAGGAACAAAACTGAAAACATAAGCTCAAAGAACATAAAACTTTAAGTAAACCAGCTGTTAAACATGTTAATGTGAATTTGGTTACTATGGTTCTCAAGATGGTAAATGTCACGTACATGGTGATCCAGTGAGTGTCGTAGCTGGAGCCAAACTGCTGAAAAGTGCCAAAAAGTTTGGGTAGTAGACGCAAAGAAACCACAACAGACCTGAGAGGGTAGAGGAGAATAAGACAGTCAGGAGCACAGATAAAAGAAGTGTTCTGGAAATATTATGTTTCTGTATGAGCAGTTTTTTACAGAATCACAGGAGTGCCATAAAAATTAAACAAATCTGTAAAAGACTAAGAAAATAAAATGGAAATATAAAGAGGAATAAATAAAAGAATAAGTAAAAGGAGAAATTAAGAAATAATAAATGTGGAAATATAAAGACAAATAAACAAAATGAGCATATTCATTTATTTTCACATTTATTTATATATGTATTTATATATTTTTTAAATTGTATATTTATTTAGCTATTTGCATATAAATTAGTCCATATTTTTCATATTATTTATTAATTTTTATACAATGCCATTTATTTATTTATACCCCTTTATTTTCCTTTTTCTTTTTCCCTTTGCTTTTATTTTTCCTTAAAGGGTCAAGCTGTTAATCAAGTGGCTTTTGGCGAGCTGAGGAGCCAATCTCTGCATACATTATCCTGCTTTGGTGCTTTTTAATGCAGACATGTAGTTGTAGTTGTGCATGTAGTTTGCAGTAGCTAAAGTATGCAGCACTTGCACAATGGAGTACATGTAGTATGTATAATGTAGTACTTGCAGTATATATGTGTGTTAATAGCACTTATATGACTATTAATGACCACAACTGTTATTTTTCACTCTGTTTTACTTTATATCTGCAGACGGGGTCTTAAAAGATGTTATCTGTCTCAGAGCAGCAGACTCAAGAACGATCCTCATCCCACACATTCAACACTGACACATTTTCTATGACAGTTCAATGCAGCTTTCAGACATTCATTCTGTTTCTCTCGCAGAGATGATTAAATCCAGTGGGAACTCTTACCTGTGGTGGGCCAAGTTGTCAAGGCAACCCTCGATGAAGCGCATTCGGATCTGTCTGTCGGTGAACCAACAGACAAGCGAACACAATAGCTTTTCTGCTTCGTTGATTAGACCCTCAGACAGATGAATCTAAAAACACACACAGACAAATTAAACATGAGATCACACTGAGGCTGCTGCTAAAAGGAAAACTGGGTGTTGCACCATTTTCACTTTTTTTCCCACTTTTTCACACATCATTTTGTTTTTCTCAGACATTTTTGGTTATGTTATGTTGCTTCTGGTAAACACTTCAATGAATCTCCTGAACAAACTAAATATTCAGTGTGTGTACATGCATTTAAATTATTTAGTTATGACCAAAGTGAAGCAGGACTCTGATCAATAAAACTGTTCCGAAACCATCTTACACGTTATGTATCTCACATGAAAGGCGCTCCATCTATAAACGTGTTAACATTAAAAACACTGAAAAGAGAAGTTGGAGGTTTGAAGTCATACCGCGTCCTCGTCCTGCACCAGGTCCCACAGCAGAGTGTTGCCCTTCTTACAGACGTTGTCCAGGTTAATGTCAGTCACAGCATGGCTGCTGGAGTACTGGTGCTTATGGACGGCCGGACCTGCAGAGATACAGAGCGTTCATGAAATCAGCTTATCTGATTCTTTGGCAGGTTGACCTTTATTTTAGTTATGTAAATCTGAAGCTGGGGTAGGCAGTTTTATTTTGGCAAATAAATCCCATAACAAACTTTGGGTATACTGTAATTCAAATGGACTGAGATAACACTAGAATCTGCACCTCTGCACCTAGCCACTGACAGGAGACTTTGTCCTGTTGGCTGTTCAACAAATGCAGAAGTGCGTGCCCGTTACTTAAGATGGTGAAAGCCTGATTCAATGGAGAGGAATCCTGCAGAGAAAATTGCTATTCCAGAATTGGCACCAACTGCCTACACTGCAAAGCAACCCGAAAAAGACGGACTGACCAAAAAGAGAGACTAAAAGAGAGTCTAACAATAAACAATATAAAACACGTCAACATCAGTGCAGTGTTTCAGAGATGGAGAGAAAATGTTGCTAACAGTTTAGCCTTCTGCTAACCGGAGCTAAAGGCTCATGGCTGCAGCTTCAAGTTCACATTTATGTAGCCAATGTTAGCAAGAGCCTTGAATCATAGTGTGTCCTCCGCCTTCGCCACTAGAGAGTGGCCAGCAGCTCCGGAGCCTGACCCCCAGTCAGGGGCCACAACACCCCAAATCAAGCCAGTGCAAACCCCAGCTCTGAGGGACCGGACAGCCCCGACTCCCTGCTGGATCAGCAAACTTTCTGTTGCTGCTGTTACAAAGGTTATACTCAGCGCTGCTGCTGGCCACCAGCCCACAGTGACATCCAGCACTTAAGTGTGTGCACTGGTGTGTGTGGCCACTACAGTCTCTGACAGAAGGTCTGTTTCCCAAGCTGCTGCCTGCTCTCTTTCGGGTGAAGCAGTCCACAGCGACGAGGAGCAAGAAGGAGGGACCATAGGGTGGCTAGCTAGGTAATTCTTGTCGTATTTGTGGTCTCATAAACAGAGAGAGATAAAGGGGGAAAAAGGGGCTGAGAGAATGAGCTGTGGGCAACCGGCAACGTATAGGAAACACAGGGGTACAATATGAAGCATGTGCAAATGCGCATGGTCATCTGGTGGGAGGGGCTTAAGACAGAAAGGGGAGAGCTGCAGGAGGAGGGTGTATTTTCAAATTCTGCCTCTTTCCCTTTCCAGATTTCTGCCTACTCCAAACTTCAGTCAAAAGCTAACAGTGGAAACAACCTGTTGTCAAAGTGAACTTTCCAAGGCCTTGAGTGTGGCTCACCTTGCACCAGGTGCTCATGGTAGATGGAGGCCAGGTTGGGGAGGTGCTGCTGGAGGTGGGAGCTGAGCTCAGCGTGGGAGTTGATCTGGACCAACTCCTCCTCACAGCCCGACTCCTCGCCGTCAAAGTCGGCCATGTTCTTCTCCGACTTGGCGCTGACCTGGGAGCTGCTACAGCTCACGTCGTCAGCACTCAGCATGTCCTCCACCATGGGACTGACAAAGGAGGGATGGTTTTATAGACGGAGGCAGAGAAGTAGACCCATTAAAGATCAATCAAACAGCTCCATCAAAATGTGCAGAACAGTTAATTTAGATTAAAGGCAAAGGGTGACTTTCTGAACTTTTATCTAGCGCCTTACCCTTCATGATGGTGGTGGTGATGATGGTGATGGTGGTGGTGCTGGGGGCCAATGAAGCGCCTGCAATTAAAGAGCTCACTACCCATGGCCTCTCCCAGGAAGTCCCCCGGCCGCGGCAGGCACGGAGGCTCCTGAGGCCCCTGGACCATCTGTGAAGGCCCAATGTCTGGAGGCTGCTGCTGGGGCTCCGTTCCCTCGGGCCGAGCAGACGACGACGCAGAACAAGCGTCCAACATCCTCATCCGGCCCTCTAATGACGTTGACGCCGCTGTAACCATGACAGCAGACGTCTCTGGGTTGAAGGGGAGAACTTTGGGCTTAGACCCGCCCCCCGAACCACTAGGCCCCGCCCCTTGGCTTGACCCCTCGCCAAGCGCTTCCCCCGCCTTCCTCTTCCTTGACTCCGTCTGCTCCCTAGGCTCCTTCTGCTGCCCGCCTTCGGCAGCCGACCGGTTCCCCTCATCTTCGTCCTCTTCATCGTCGTCATCATCCTCCTCATCATCTTCCTCTTCGTCATCCTCCTCCTCCTCCTTCAAGGCCTCACTGTCCGCCATGTCGTCAGAGTGCATTTCACTGCCGGGGCTTCCAGCTGATTGGCTTGCTCGGCTGGAGGCAGCTTCGTTGCTGGAGGCCTCGCTGCGGCCGCTGCTGCTGCCCGGCCCGCTGCTGCCTTCTTCCACGCTGTTGGCCGTCTCATCAGAGCTTCCCTGCATCGACTCCTGAGGACACACGCAGACACGGGAAACAACACAAGTTATCATAATCACTTCAGTCAAAAGGTGAGAACACCTGTTCAAATCCCTGAAAAAAACACAGGCAGAGCACACAATCTACTTCATGTTCATTTTTGTGCAGCTGCACAACGTAAGCTGTCGCGTTTGTTGAAATTGAAAACAATTGAAAACAATTTCATCATGACTCTCTTTGACCTCTTAAATATGGTTTCTTTAAATTTAGGGGGAAGAAATTTAATGCAATATGACAATATAACAGCTGATGATGAAGTTTACACTGAACTAATTAGTTAGACTCAATGTTAGACTCTTATGGTTGCAACATTACACGAAAACTAAATATATTCACTGTCGTGTCAGCGTTCAAACATAATGTATTTATTCAGGCAGGTGGGTCAGAAATCTTCTTGCCCAAAGTAATTTTGTTACTTGCCCCTTCACAAATTGTTTTATTAATTAACAGTTAAAATGACAGCAAAGACTTAAGTTCTTCTTTTGAAACATGACACGCTGTGGCAATCAGTAATGCGATCACCTGACTTGCCTCAGCGTTAATGTTTTGTACAAGCACCGGCAAGGCCCCAGAGGAGAGGCTGTCTGCAGCCCTCTTAGCTTTCATGCAAGCGAGATGCTGTCAATTCTTATTTTGGCACTCCAACAATGTTTTATAGGAAACTTGACATGCCTTTGAAAAACAGCCCTGTCTTATCCACTTTGCTCTTAAACTTGTGGCAAACTGTGCAATATGTAGTTGGATTTGCCCACACAACTCCTGTTTCCAAGATAACTGAATTCTCGCTTGTGCTACAGCTCTCACCAGTTCCCAATTGGTACTGCGCATGTGCAACTCTCAACAGAGATGAGAAGGAAGCGAGGTGGCTCACTCTTTAGCTACTTCCCTCATCAGCTCCCAAAAAAACAATGTGTTTAATTCATTTTTATCACTTGCCTAATCGGGCAGGATTTACTAGCCTGGCATTTTAGTGGCCATGGGCTGTTGGGCAATCCTTACTGTTGAGCCCTGCATGTACATAATATTATACACACTACTCCCAAAATTCAATCTACAAAGTTTCTGATGACAATTAATTCAATCTCCACCACAAATTAAAGCAAAGCCCTATGCTTTTTAACTTATGTTTTATTCAACAACCTGATTAATTTTGTTCTCCCAGTTCAGCTGTGATCCAAACGTTATCTTTTCAAAACAGCTCCTGCCATTGTTTCAAAGGGACAGTGAATCTACATGTGCTGTGTAAATGACAGCTGACATGCAAACAAAAACTGCAGGGATCCAAATCAGCTCGACAGAGAGTGTGTACTGTGTACTGTCTGTCTGTGTGTGTGTGTGTGTGTGTGTGTGTGTGTGTGTGTGTACCTCTGTGTCAGACAGCCTCTGCTGGCTCCTCTTGCTGCCAGTCATCATCTGGTCGTCCATCTCCATGTCACTGCCTCCGCTGTGCTGAGTGTCGCTGTTGTCACTGCTGTCCGGACTGGCGGCCGGTGAACCTGAGACCAGACAAAACGACTGAGACTGAGAACTTCCTGTGGGAAGGAATTCAAACCTGCCACACAAACATTTACAGTTGACACCAGCCGTAGTCATTCAGAAGCTGAGGGAGGATGCACACGGCCTGTGAAACGTAATTAAGTAAGTAAAATAAGTGTCTCCGTTACCACCTGAAACATTTAAAGTGAACTCACTGATTTTGTTTGTGTTCTTTTTCTAATACCCAAATGAGCATTATTCTATTATAGTCTTCCCAGTCCTGAAACAGAAAATGTACCCATATACTCAGAACATTCCCCTGGGTGCTCTCTGTGTCATCTAGAACTTTTTTTTTTTTTAATTCGTCTACGGAGCAGCCCCAGACTTAATATTCAGAAATAATTTTGGACTGTCTTAAAGGATAGGAATAATATGTATGCATTTTGAAAATTGGCATAGTTTACCTTTGATTAAAAGATCTGAGTACTTCTTTCATCACGGCCAAAGCGTGAAAAGAAGAATTCTAATGTTTGTTAGAACAGGTTTCTCCATTTAGACATTTTGAATGTAGCTCCTGCATTTTGATTCATTAATCTTATCAACACTGACCTTTCTTGTTGCCCATGGGGATGTTGGTGTTGAGCAAGGAGGCGAAGGAGCTCTGTTTGGAGAGCTGGGCCTTGGCCGCCAGGGCGTTGTTCCACAAAGCCTTGATCAGCATGGAGGCCAGGTACAACGTCTGAGGAGGGAGACGCATGAGCTTTTATCATAAATAATCAACACGTTAAAATCCAACAGTATGGTAACGATCAGAGTGCTTTTTTAGGTGATTTTTGAGGCTGTGTACCTGCTCGGTGTGGGCGCTGGGGTGCAGGCCCGACACCAGGTTGAGGACGTGACGGAGAGGCACTGGGTCCAGGTTTTTGATGAGTGAAGGGAAAAGGTCGTGGATGTAACGGCTACAGTGTTTCAACTAAAACACCAAACAAATAGCAGAGTTTATTATTTCATATCTGCAAAGTGGAAAGCACAGGTACTCACTGACTGCTACAGAGATGTGTTTTTACTGTCTGTAAACAATTTCAAAAATTTAGCGATTAAATATCAGTAAGAATAACATGTACATACATTATTACATCATACATTATGATTTATTCAGTTTTATATTTCTATATTGTTATTATTCTACACAAATACCCCATCTAATCATCCCCACAGTTTGCACAAGAGTTTTTCCTGTTTCAGTCTGACAGAGAACTCAGCAAATCTTCTTCTATATTCTAATGAAAACATCAAATGGAGTGTGAAGAAAAGTGTTAATATTTAGTAGATATATCTCAGCTGGAAAAGTTTTCTCTTCCATTTGCCACTCACACACATGCAAATGTTCAAACCAACATTATGTACTATAGCAACTCCAGCTGAGCCAGCCAACATTCCTGTTTTTATCCATGGTTTACCCCCTTGATAGTACTGATGTAGTGATAAATACTGTAGGCCCCTTCATGCTGCTCCACGGAGTAACCTAATGGAGCGGAATAAAGCTGCGTACAGTCAGGAGTAAATCTGTCCCGTCTTACCTGAGCTGCAGCCCAGATACAGTCCACATGCTGCGTGCTGAGTCGGCCCTCTGCAGCCAAGAAGTTCAGGATCACTTGGCACTGTTTAATGATCTGGAAAACACACACGCACACTTAAGACCAGCTGTGCTTGGAAAAAAATTAAATGACCTCCAATCTCCAGTGCTGCACTGTTTAAGGAAAGACACTGTAACTTGCAACGCGTCACAAATAACATAAATCCTTGTGATAAATCTGATAACATGGATTTCATTTAAACACAATATAACTAAAAGTTTATGTGTTAAATTTAGCAGAAAATGCAATGTGTTTGTTCACATGTTTCACCTCAATGTGCAAATTTGGTCCGAATATGTGCTCCACCACGTTGTTGTGGATCAGCCAGTCAGCTAGTTCCTTTGCTATGGACCTGAGAGGATGGAGCAGAATCAGACCTTTAGTGAAGTAACAGACAGGTTAATGAGAGGTCAACATACAGAGTGGAAAACTCATGCTTTGTATGATATGTGTGCTGTGACACAGAGCATACTGACTGTGTGGATGTACACCTACAGGTGTAAAGACAGGTGTCAGGAATGTGTCTTTTCCTGCTCTATGGTTATTTAGGCTGCTGTCAGCCCTAGAGTCGTCTCCTTTGGTCTGAATCAGGGACTCATGTTGTTCCAAAGTTGTCTAATTGCCTAGAGTTGGTTCGCGTTCTCATGGCAGCATTTACAAGAGGACCAGATCAAATGCCTTGTGTGAGAAAGCTGCTCTTTATTGGTCAGAATTTCCATGTGGGAAAAATCCAGGAAGTAAAGCAAACCTTGAAGAAGAGTACACTTGCAAGATAAATGTGACACTTTCTAATGTCACAATGGAGGGACAACTACGCAGGTTGATTTTAGCGCTGCTCACTGAGTTTGAGTTCACTTACAAGTGGGAAACTGGACGATGTAGTTTTTAAAGAAAACAGCAGAAGTTAAGAATTATACCTGCACCATCCGAGAAAACTAAAGCTGTCTTTGTAGAACAGCAAAATGCCATTATATCATCAATTCGTTAAAGCAGACCCAAATACTTGTCTACCTGGACATATCAACACCTTCATGGACGCCTTTGAGCACAGCTATCTGATCCCTTTAAGCCAACTTACGTTTCTGTGTCAGACACCAGTGACTCGTTGTTGCAGACGTCATTGAAGGTGTGGAGTTGGTTCTGAGAAAACACACACACACACGTTCCAGGATGAGTAAGGACATAATACATCATACATCTTTGTAAAAGGTTATTTCCCATCAGTGTCATACCAAAACCTTAAAACTGAAAGAAGCTGTTGCTAAACAAATACAGGCAAAGTCAACAAGTCTTTACTGGCCTTTATAAACTAAATCAAATCAGTGAAACAGCGCACCAGGCAATGCTCAAGTTATGGCCAAAAACAGATTTTGTGAGGTCACACTGACCTTGACCTTTGACCACAAAATTCTAATCAGTTTATTCTTCAGTCCAAGTGGACGTTTGTGTTAAATCTAAAGAAATTCCCTTGAGGTGTTCTTGAGATATCGCATTCATGAGAATGAGACAGATGAGGTCACACAGACCTTGACCTCTGACCACCAAAATCTAATCAGGTCATCGTTGAGTCCAAGTGAACATTTGTGCCATTTGAAGAAACCCCTTCAGGTATTCTTAAGATATCACATTTACAAAATGAGACAGATAAGGTCACATGAACCTTGACCTTTGACCTATGACCACCAAAATCTCATCAATTAATCATTGAATCCAAGTGAACGTTTGTGCCAAATTTAAAGAATCTCCCTCCAAAGTGAGATATTGCATTCACAAGAATAAGACAGACAAGGTCACAGTGACAATGACCTTTGACCACAAAAAAAAAAAACAGTCAGTTCATCCCTGAGTCAAAGTGGACATTTGTGCCAAAGTTGAAAAAATTCCTTTGAGGCGTTCTTGAGATTTCACGGTCAGAAGGATGGGATGTACATACATACGTAGAACATACGGACAGACAGTCGACATGAAAACATAAACCGTCCAGCCACGGTTATCACCGGAGAGACTGCATAAAAAAGAAGGAAGGAAGTGGGGGAATCTCAAGTATCTTTCACCCATCAGAAGACTCTTTCTGGAAAACACTACAGTTTATTCATTTTGCAATTACTGCACACCTGTCTACCACAAATCTATATTATTTTATTTTATATTCATACGTGTTATATTTTATCTCTATATTTTAACTTCTGCACTATCTTTATTCGTATATTCTCAATTTTTCTAAGACTTCCATTGCTAACAACTGCTTCTCCCTAATTGTCGTGCGTATGACAATAAATAACTTGAACTTCCTGGCATGTAATGAGCATTGAAGTCTCACAGTTCCAACATTTTATGTTTACCTTTCATAAAACCTAAAGTACTTTTTTTGTCTTGCTCACAGGGGTGAGCAAAACACAGAATTTCAATTCAGTCATAAATCATCACTGTAAAGCCCCATGACTAAGACCTCTGTTGACTGAAACACAACTGCAGCTGAGACTCAAATGACGAATAAAGAACCAGAGTCAGTCACACAAGTCTCTCACAGGGCGGTTGCTGAGGTGCTACAGTGAAGAGCCCCAGTTTAAAAAATTCCCATCGGCCTAATCCAGGCGACGCTGTGTGAATGAGTTCAGTCATGTTTGGAGTGACTTACAGTGATCTGGCTGAGTCCTGCCAGCCTCATGGTGAGCGTGGGGGACATGAAGTATTTGAAGGCAAGGTCCAGGCTCTCCTTGTCGAAGCACAGCGCGCTGTCCAGCGGCTCCTTCACCGTGCTCCACATCAGGTCGGCCATGTTGCGCGCCGCACTCTGCCGCAGCTCCTGGTCCGACAGCTTACACAGATACCTGCAGGCAGACAACCAAAACTTAATGAGTTAAGACACAAAATTCACTGAAATAACTTAAACTTACGGCTCTGAATGCTAATGTCTGGACACAATGAGGTTCTGTGTTATGAGCAGAGTTTTAAGTACATCTTAATGTCAAAAACAACATTTAAGGTGCTAACAGTTTTTTTAATCAATACATCTGACTTGATGTGGGTTTTCTAATTCAGGGTTCCTACAGCTTAAGGCAAATTAGATTTAAGACTTTGCCTTTTGTAATGCCACTCCTACTGAAATTAAAAAACAGCTTTACAATTATCAAAATAAATGGAAATGACCTCAGGGTTAGCAGGCCCCCAGGAAGTGTGCGGGGCTTTCAAGCCAATTTTTGTAGTGGCCAAACATTGTGATTACAACTTCCCTGTCCATCAAGCATTGTCCTGCAGCCCAAAAAGACTTCACCCCACAGACTCACAAACATCTGTAAATCAGTGGAGACATTTTTTTGAACATCACAACCCCTGTGAAATGACTCCTTTCACTATCTGGATTTAATCCATAACATCTGGAAAGTCTAGCAGAGCTGTACGATGTATTATTTTATCTTGATTCAAGTTAATGAAGGGCTAAAGCAGAAGTAGTTGGCTCGGCTGGTCGAAGTCTCCAGTGCACCTGCTCTTTGGGCCGCACAGAGTAGAAGCAGTGACCAATCATTTGGGTAACTTTATATGCAGCATTTGAACCATTTTGGCTTCATGTGCCCCTGAGTGGGTGGCACAGTGGTTAGCAATGTCGCCTCACAGTTCCCAGATCGAACTCAGGGTGGGGGAGCTCTTCTGTGGAGAGTTTGCATGTTCTCCCTGTGTCAGCGTGGGTTTCCTCCAGGTGCTCCAGCTTCCTCCCACAGTCCAAAGACATGCAGGTTAATTGGTGACTCTAAATTGTCCGTAGGTGTGAATGTGAGTGTGAATGGTTGTCTGTCTCTATGTGTCAGCCCTGTGATAGTCTGGTGACCTGTCCAGGGTGAAACCTGCCTCTCACACAATGTCAGCTGGGATAGGCTCCAGCCCCCCTCCTCCAGGGTTTTCTGGGCTATTCTGTGCTTTCAATCTGTGTGTGGAATTCCTTGATTCCCATCATGCAGAGTCTGAAAAACTTTTCAGAAAAATAAACATGTTTGATATTTAGGATTTAAAATACTCATACCGTTAATGCAGACAATGCAGATACTCCAAGCATCTGCATTGTCTTGTACCCTTTTCAGCAATGCCTGAACTCTAGATGAATATGCACTCCCCCGTGTTGTCCACGGTACAGTGACAGCTAGTGGTGGATCCTCAGCTCTGCTCAATTCATTTCTGATCCTTACATTTGTCCTTTTTTGTCTTTTCTTATTTAATTGACACTGTTTGACCCCTGGAAGACAAGTGATTACTTTGTGAAAACTAATAGGGAATGCTCTCCTAAAACAAGCTTCTCAATCTAGTGTTTTCATTACGACTGTTTTAGCAGAAACATCGACACCCTGTTCAAAATTCACCACCAGCACTTCTGACTGCAAAGAAATCCAGCAGGAGGACTTAGAGTAAGTGGTGGGCGGCAGGCCAACACTTATCACAACTGTGATAACGACAAAGACGGTTGGACCCGACAAAAACATCACAATTCACTTCCTCATTTCTGACTGTGAATCAAACTTTTCAAACATCTGAAAAACTCTGTAACTTCTGAGATTCATTTCTAATCACATTACTTCTTTCAGCTCTGTGTGGGCGAACATTGAGAGATCTGATCAACAGCAGAGTGCTGCTGACTCATCCAGTCTCCACTCTGAGCTGGGACAGTTGGTTTGTGGTTTTCAGATCTTTCCTGATGAGCTGGGAGGCTACAGTTGCTTGTTTGTGTTTCGCTGATCAAACACACTTAAAAGGACAAACAAGTTCAAAGACCTCATCAACAGAATCAACATTTGAGGGAGGGACAAAGCTTCAGGAAATGTAATTTTGAATTGTCTAACCAGTCTTACTAAATGACAATCTTTAGGAAAAAAATAAGCACAAACTCTGTATGCAATGGTAGATAGATCGTAGATAGCAAATGTACGTGGTATGATAACCGTCAACTTTTTCATCATGATATACCTTAAAGCCGGTATATCGCAGAACTGAGTGTCAACAAAGACTCAGGAGGGAATTCCCAAAGACTGAACTGCGGCCACTGATAGCAACATAAATTGCGCATCACTTGCAACCGCTACCTTCCACGACTCAAAGTCCAATTTACAAAAGATATTGTGCTGATGATGTTACAGCACAGATACACCCATAAAGTTTTACAGCTGAGTGCATTTTGTCCATTTTGTGTCAGGTTGCAATTATTTATGTGGCAAAGTATAAATGTAGCCTTTGCCTTTGTATTTGGGATTTAATATCCCAGTCTGTCAGTGTACTATAGCTCACACCAACTATGCTATTAACTTCACTGTAACTGTGTGTGGCTGTTAGTGCTGATCTTTGTGATTGTTTTTGCAGTGAGGCTCATTTGCATAGAATTGCCAATTTTGCAACCAATCTAAGATTAATACCTTATTTAAATACATGCAAATAGCACATGAGCACAGACATGTTTGCCTGGGCAGAGTCCTGCACTGTGTAGGGTACCCACGTGTAACCTATGGGTAGCCTGCAAAATGTTATAGGGTAAAAATATGTTTATATATATAAATTTACAGGCACGGGTAAAAATGAACTTCACGCAGTCAGGCAGTAGCTGAGAACAAAAATATATATTTTTTAATATTCAGAATAAAACAGATGAAAAAGATGTGCAGTGTGTGTGTAATATTGTGACATCTAAATCACTATAATCAATCCATAATCCCTTTTATCTTGAAAGTCAATGACACAAGTCGAACCTTTGACCCTGTCGTCACATTTGTTACCGACGTGAGTAATGAAACTTTGCAGCCTGAGGATGAGGTGGCAGCCTACATGGAGTTCAAGACACCCAAAGAGGATCCTTTGGAGGTATTATGGTGGTGGAAGGAGCATGCTAAAATGTTTCCTAACCTGGCAGTGAATGTGCTCAAAGTTTTTGCCATCCCAGCATCGAACGAATCCTCTGCTGGATTTGTTATTCAAGAACATAGAACTCAGCTTTATGTGAGGGACTGTAGCTTGTGTGTGTTTAATCACGTGTGCGGGTCGTGTCTTGGGACTTTTATTAACAGGTGTGGCAGGGGCAGCTTTGATTCAGACATAATAACGGGGAACAGGTCAGTTCTGGTACTGAGCTTTACGAGTATGGGAGGACCCATGCAGGACTCTGCAATTAGGGGTGCATTTAAACTTTTGTGGGTGCGTTGAGAACTATACAGTTTCTTCTTTCTCATCTTATTTGTGCAGGTTTAGCGACCAAAAAGCCCACAGAATCCTTTCGTGAATTAACAAGAGAAAGTCTACAGCTATGCTCGCGGCTCTGTGAGGCATTAGTATGTTAATATACGGACTATGACGATGCAAGCATTTAACATTTGTAAATTAGCTTTAAAACAAAGTACAGCTGATGGAATGTCACTGGTTTTGAAGGTATGTGGTCATAAATCAAAGCCTGATGATGACACTGGATTTAAAGTCAGGTGAGTCAGCTAACACTTTAGTCTGGACCAAAGTGGTTGACTTCTCGATCCCTTGTACCAAAGAAAGGACCAAAAGGTTTCACTGAATGCTCAGATTTTGTACTGATCCTAACTTGTTCTGTGATCAGTTTGTTTCTCATTTAAGACTCACTTTATGCAAATTTTTTATGTATTTCATTTGGGCAAAATTCTCGTATAGCGGCTTGTGTGTAGACCGCAATTAAGTAATTTGAAGTTACGATTACCTATCAAGTTTTAAGTGAGTGTCAAATACTTTTGGCACCATTTCTGGCTTTTGTACATTTTTAGCATGGATCCAACCCATTGTTTTGTAAATGAGACTCCTGGTCCATTTGTGTTGAAAACAAAGAGACCTCTGCAGATAATTCAGTTAAAAAAAACTCCTGACCAGCGAACACTGAAGGAATTCTAACCAGAATAAGTTTCAGCTGGTTGCAATCTGTTATCCTCACTGCTAGATGTTAAAAAATCCCCTAAATTTTACATACTGGAGTCTGTACCATACTTAAAGCTTTCCTGGGTACACACTTTTAAAGCTTCAGTGTTTTTTTCAGTACTGAGTGTTATTTAGTTTTTTGTGTTTTCTTGTACAGCTTTGCTCAGCTATGAATCCACGTTAACGTACCTAATCCCTCATCTTGTCACTCCAAGCAAGTGTGCTCATGCGTCTTTGTCTTGCATCATGTGCTGCTGGTGTGTGTTGCCCTTTAGAGTCTGGCTGCTGAAGCTGGATGACAAAGAATATTCTCCTATTCAGTGTAGACACAATTTGAGCCAATCTCAGAGCTCTTCATGACAATAACGTTTGCAATTTTTAAAAACTGAATTGTGGTGAGTTTGAAACATCAACACTGTTTCCAGGGAAGATGGTGTTTTAATAAAATCTGGGAATGACCCTTTAATCGTCGTTCCTGTTAGAGTAATCATTGTATTCCACCGCTGTGTGTCTCTGCTCAGTGAGACAGAAGAGGCGGCGGAGCATCAGCTTGCCTGCGTCACATGACCGGGCCTGCCGGCGCTCTGTCTCCTCTAGGGTCATGTGAGGAGAGGTTCACTGGAGGCCTGGCAACTGTTGCCATGGTGACAGAAGCTCTTCCTAGCAACACATGTGTGGCAGTTTGGTATTTGGGGGAGAGAGCACGAATGAGCGAGGTGCACTGACTGACTGAGTGAGAGAGACGGAGAGGGAAAGAGCTGTGAGACAAAATCGACCACGTCTGGTTTTCTCACTTCAAATGGCAGCAAAGATCAATGGAGAGACACACCTAAACTCGCACGCTTCTCCAAAGCATCTAAAAAGGTGCTCTAAGTGTGTTTTTAATATCTGGCAGTACAGAATAACAAAGGATTGATCAGATTACTGATGAAGACCTGGTAGCCATATCTACATTTCCATTTTGTTCTGATTTAAATCAAAAAGCTTCGCTCAAATCGTCTGCAGAAGCTAATTTTCTTCCAGCCTGATTTGGGCGGAGGAGCTGTTGGATGCTGGGCTGACAGGGAGGCAAGGTGATCAACAAAATGGCAGCTACTCAGTCATATACAAACCAGGCACTCAGACAGGCCTGCGGCTGTGTGCAGGAGCTCAGAGTTAAACTGGAAAAATGTTTCTCTTATTGGGGAAGATCCATGACTGGAGGATGCAGAATTTCCTAATTCAATTTATGTTACCGAACAAACAGAAAAGGTGGTCTTTGCACATCTGTGTACAGACTGGTGCGTGGGAAATAGATCTCCTATTACCCAGCGATAACTGTATTTAAATTGTATTAAGTATGTTGAGGGGAATTAACCTTTCTGGGTCTTAAACTGGGCTTAGACTACAGGAGTTTTAAAATCAGGTTGCATCATAAAGAGAAACTCAATAATGGCACATTACACACTACAGGATATTATTAAGGTTATTGGCCAGAGGGAGCTTGAATGCACCACCTCACGTGATCTTATGGGGAAGCAGATACAAACAAAATGAGACTGACGTGGTGCTTTGAGAAAAACAAAAGCAAAATGCTAAACGAGCCTGGATCAGAAAATGGTCGACATGGGTTGTCTATTTTGCGGCAAGACCTGGAGGTTTTATCTGTCCGCAGTAGTATGCCAGCTAACGTTAGTCCCAAGGGCTTGAATGTTTACCACTGCTTAGCAAACCCTTAGCTGCTCTGTACTGACGTAAGCATAACCAAAATCATCAAGATTTTATATCCTAAATATCAAACATGTTTAAAATGATCAGGTCTCTGAGCACTTTGGGAGGTTTAAGACTGGATCTGTAAACCTCTCACATTACCACATAATCTGGGCCCAACATTGCTACCGACTAAGATCCCAGACTGGATCTACCAGGTGTGTTTGTGTATAGTTTTGTTCATTACTTGGTCCCAAGGCCTGGCTGATTATTCTGTGTGTGCATGTATACATGTGCAGGCTTATTGTTATTTGCTTTATGAAATGCCTGATAAAGACTTCCTGCGTAAAATGTAGCTATTGTACCAACAAGCACGTGCAACGACTCTGAATGACAGCAAACAAATTTACCAGCATGTAACTGCAGAAAATGTAAAACTTTGTTCCCTCATAAAAGCAAACTGTAGCATCTGTTAACACTTTGACATGGTTGGAGTGAACTCACCGTATTACATAGGTGCGGAACGGTATGATGTGCTGCATGACCGCAGGAATGTGCAACCATATTCGGATCTGTGTAGAGGAGCACACAACACAAATTATTCAACATTGAAACACATGAAAACACATCAGATGGGCGTCCTTAAAAACTTCAGGTGGCTCAAACAACGTGTGTACAGGTTAGTGGAGGATTTCTTACATGTTTGTTATATTAAACTGAGTTAGATTTAGCCTGGTGTCCCTAATAAACTGGCAACTGGCAAAACAATATCAAGTATCATCAAAATAATATCGAAATCTTTCATTTGGTTAGCATTTATTGACTTTTGAGTGTTACATTTGGGTTTTATACATAAATCATGGCAAGAGGGAGTTGATGACTGTGTATTTGTGTCTGTGGACTCACGTTGGAGACGATGGTGATGAAGGCATGTGCGATGGGGAAGGGGAGGCTCTCCGGAGTGCCCGACTCGAAGCACTCCTTCATGAGAGAGAGGCCATGCTTCCCACAGAACAGACAGACGTAACGCAGCAGATGCAGAGGAACCTCCACGTCCTGGACAATAAGGGGACACAACATTTTTTTTTTTTTGCAGAAGGAAACACAAAAATGTTTTGGTGCACATAGCAGAAAAGCAGTCAGCGTCATTGTTGTTTTTTCCATTGTCCAATCAGATGAACTATGAGGCGGGCCCTCTGTGGTGGTGAAACGACAGGTGGTAGCTCACATGGTTTGTGTTGAGCTAACTTTAGCTCGCTATCAACAAGCTGCAAGACATATCTCAACCAATTGCTGCCTCAGCTACTTCTCGTTTGTCCAAGTGTCTGGCCAGGCGATTGACAACAGATTGTCAAACTCTCCTCAACTCATCCTCAGATAAGCCTTGAACCAACAAGTCAAGCTCCTGGACCAGCTGCTGGTACTCCCTGTGATTTCTCCTCTTTCTGAGGGTCTCATGCACCCACACAGATCTCCATTTCTCTGTGTCCAACGTTCTATTTGGTACCAGCCTCTCACTCTCAATCAGAGCCAGAGTGAGTTTACTTCGTCTCAAAATAGCAAAATCACAGGAGGTTTCTGTTCAGTGCAGTGCACCCACAGACTCTATAAATGATGTAGCTACCGTGACGTCGCCCATTGGTTTGTGGACTCAAGTTTTGTATATGTGCATATGTGAACATTCCAAGAGAAGTCAGATCTTTCTGAAGCAAACCAAACTCAGACCACCCCCACGGTACTGTTCACTTAACCTGTGCCTTGTGAAAACAAAGTGCTCCAGGTTCATTTTGCTCTTTGCCATTTGACACAGGACGAGGAGTAGTTTGGTCCACCACGGAAGATACTGACATGTCTCCAGATGTGGAATGTAGAATACATCAAATGACAACTGACTAGCACTGACACGCTAAGGTTATCCTCCAATTCTAAGTTCATCTGAAAGCGAAGGGCTTCATAACCACTCTGCAGTGCCACATCAATATATATATTATAAACAGGCTATAGTGTGAACAGAAAGAGAACGGAGTCCTTTTTCTGTTGGCCCACTTTAAGAGGACTGAGTTCGGTTTGTTTAAAAAGGACTATATGTGAAAACACAACAAAACAGAGTTGCTGGAGAACTTGCGAGTGAATGAGTGAGACAGAGCTGTGAGGAGAGTGTGAGAGAGGAGATGCGCACTGGTATGATCATGTAACGCAACTTGACCCTATATCGATATAAACGGTGTTGTCCAAATTTATAAGCCCTAGTACAAAGTCATTGCGCGTGCTGCAGTGGTCATGGGTTCAATTCCTGTCTGTTCTGTCCACTGAAAGGCAAAGAAATCATCTAAAAGAAAAAAAAAATCTGATGCATTTCTTAACAATTGCTTCTGTTGAGCAGTTTGGATTCAACACATTTCCTTCTGGGTTTATGTGAGTGTGATGGAAAGTGTGGTGTCATCGTGCCAATTTTGGTGCACATGACAATAAATCACGAACTTGTTTTGACTTGATTGAGACTCTAAAACAGTAAATGAAATCAGTGTATTTTAATTCAGGTACATGATTTGTTTTTAAGTTGTGTGTCAGTTATTTTGGCCATTAAAAACAGTAAAAGCTGGGAGTTTTTTTCGTAGTTGTCCGGCTCATTTTTCACACAGCCTGTTCTCAAATTCATCCCACCCCTGAGCTTAATGAAACTTTATTACGGTGGGAAGGTAAAAAGCCATCGAGCTAGCAGATTATCCAGGGACGCATTACTGCTCTCTGAGGGACAGTGACTTCATCTGCAGAAAACCAAACCATATTGAAGAAACGGAAACTCACCCAGCAGAGCTCTTTTACTGTTTCTTCCACAATACGAGCCCTAACCTCCGTCTACTGCATTCCTTTCTGAAACATAGTTATTAAACTGATTCTGATCTCTTAAAAATTTCATCTCAGAACACAAAGAGCAGCATCAGGAGCGCAGGCCAATGAAACCCTGTTACCATGGAGTTTATGAGGCTCAGCACACTGTAATAATGTGGGCGTCCATTTGACAAAACAAACCACAGAGGGCAGGAAATGTGGACAATACTTAGCTAAACAGAGAACTGTACTCAATTCGAAAAAGTCAACATACTGACTGACATGAACCAAAACTGTGATATCAGGCCTTCCTGATATGAACAGTCTGCCTCTGTGAGTCAAAACTGAAAACATGAACGGTCTTTTTCCAGAAAAACATCTGACATGAACATGAGTTACTATTTTCTTAAAGATATGCCATTTAGGACTCTTCTAAAAAAACACTATATAGACTCACACAGAAGTAATCCCTTTCAATCATCACTTATGTGTGTGTGGCAGAAACTCTTCCCTCTGCTTGGATATTTTTATTTTCCTCTTATTTTCTGTGTTTGTGATGTTTGTGGCCGTGTACCCCCACAGTGCTCCGTCGAAGTCGGGACTTTATAAAAAGGGTAGCAACCAGGTGCCAGACTGTAAACAGCAGGCATCTTTAAGATACAGCGCACAAAAAAATGCAAATACAGCAAAGCAAAACGCCAAACAGTGAATCTGTGGTTGGCTTTCACTTTCAATCTGACTGGCGAGGTTCTTTAAAAACAGTAACATACAATCCTGCATAGTATAGCTTTAAGTCTTGGATACTTTTCTTTACCTTGTGTGATATTTGCTGCCTTTGTTAATAGCAGTAATCTAGACATCTAGAAGAGACACATGCCTTTTGTGCATCATTTTCTGTTTTTGATGAGGAGGAAATGTATTGTTACATTTTTACAAATTTAAAGGTGATTCACCAAATTGAAATGTCATCTTTTCAAAATAACTGATAGCTCCTGTCTTTGATTCGTTGCAAATCTACTTCCCATTTTGGAGGGCTTTCCATCCCATGTGAAGTCCTTTACTTCACTGATATTAAAAGAAACAGAAGTGAGCGGAGTCCACAGGACAAAATAACTTTAAGCTGTGCCACCCAACAAAGAGCGGATCGCTGCAACGTGAAGCCTCAGATCAGGCGTTTATATTTGGATACTCAGCTGCGTGAGTGTCATGTTTCTGATAACCTCTCAGGTCAGGAGACAATAAAAACTCCCCCGTACATTACATGCAAAATTGATTTAAAATCAGCACTTGAATTAAAGTATAAGGATTAAGTTTTTTAACTCAGAACAACTCGTAGTACACTTGAGCAGACAGTACTTCAGTCTGAGTCAGCAGTGTGCAACTCTACCATCAAATGTGTCACAACAGTGATGTCTGCTACTTCACGTGTGTTTAATTAATGTTACCACTTTTTAAAGGCCAAAACGCCTTTTCCAATTTCTGGAACACTGTGTGCTCTTTCAAAAAGCCCAGTTGTGCCACTGAGGCATGATGGGATAAACACTACACTACTACTAACCGAGAAGCTAGAAAATTTTTTGGCATACACGCTAGGCGAGCAATTCTCATTGGACTGAACAGGCGCCATCTTGGGGTCCATTATCTAATCCTTGTAATACATATAGTTAGTTATACCTGCAGTAGAGACACGGTGTTACCTCAAAGCTCAGGGATGAACTGATAATCAGATAACGACATTATTCAGAGAGGTCCAAAATTAGGTTAGAGAAAGTCCCGTTCAGGACCGGCATGTGCAAAGCTGCATAGCAACAGTAACTTTGGGGGGTGGGGCTTAGCAAGAGTAACATTGGGTATTGCACAAAACTAATAAATGTATGTAATCACATTACTTTTCTTACTAATAGAGTAATGATGAATTGATTTAGTTCTGGTAGAGCTGCACAATAATGGCAGAATGAGAATTTCTGGAAGGCCGTTCTCTTTCACAAAGCCCAGCTGTGCCACTGAGGCATGATGGGATGACTGCCCGTAATCAGTAGGTCGCACAACCTGGAAGTAACCCAGGGGCTAGAAGTTTTTTGGGTTTATTCCCTAGGTGAGCAATTTACATTGGACTGAACAGTTGCCATCTTGGAGTCCGTTATTTAGTCCTTCTAATACATCTGCTAGCCATTAGTGTCCATGGTTATATCTGCAGTAGAGACATGGAGTTATTTCAGAGCCAAGGACTGAGCTGAACATTATTTTGAGAGGTCAACTTTGAGGGGGGTATTGCACTAAAGTAACTAATAAATGCATGTAATTCCATTACTTTTCTTACTAACAGAGAAATGATGACGTGATATAGTTCTGGTAGAGCTGCACAGTCATGACAGAATGATGATTGTGATTATTTTGTTCAACACTGAGATCAAAATTCCATATTTGGTTAGGTTTACTAAAGAACTCACTATTGAGTATTTTATTATAATAAACGTCACGCAGGCACAGCTGCTGTCAGTGACAGAAGTCGATTATTATTTTTAGTTAATCATCCAGAAAGTTTTGAATGTCACACTGGGATAGTAACGTCTGAGCTGATGACAGACATCAGACAGACACTGCTGTCCACACAACTGCTGCTGAGTAGGGATGACTTTCAGACATTTTTTAGACAACTCATAAAAGGTGACTCAGTGAAAACTGGTGTTACTAACAATGAAGTATTTCTCCTCCCAGTCCAGGGCCCATGATGAAGCACTTTTTTCTTGTTAATCTGTCCTTGGGCCTGCACAAACCTGCTTAATTTAATTTCCACAGAGTATGCATGCTGACCTCGGATAAGAACCAAAACTAAAGAGTGGAAGGAGAGAAGATGTGACCAATGAACTTGCATCTGTTCAGCCAGTTATATGACACTGTTTGGCACTAACGGGCCCCTGATGTATTCTGAACATGCCTCAGCCCTACATCTACTCTTCATCAGGAGCTTGTTCGTGTAGCTTCCCAATAAAATAGTTTCAGGATTGAATAAATTACAGAAATACAACCATCACAAGAACAGGACAAGAGAGACGAAGTTCACTCTTAAAGCCTTCTGCACACAATTGTTCCCAAAGCAGCTTATAGTGAATTAGGCGATGGGAGTTCCATTAAAATGAATAGGGAGGTGGTTGTTGCAGCAGACTGTCATCACTGGTCTGAACTGGCCCTTCAACAACTTGTTTTTGAGGGGTCATTTCCAGCTATAGGTGTCAGGTGATGGACAGGAAGCAGAGTGTACACTTCACTTGACTCAGAGAAAAAAAGGAAAGAGTAGATTTCTTACGTTCATGTCGCAGAAGGAGCCGAGGATGTTGCTCTCATGAGCAGATATGTCCTGAGGAAAAGAAAAAGAGACCGTGAGATCAAAGTTGTAGAGGTCATACATGACAATAAAAACTTGTGTCAGCCTGAGAGAGAGTAATTTTTATTTGAAGGCAGAGTTCTGTTCAGCTGTTGAATTCTGAGGTTTCTGAATTACGGGCCATTGTGCTCACATTCAGAGGGTGTTAAAAAGAGCTTGAGCAGAGAATAATGTGTTTTGGTTTTCAGTAGAAAAGCTACAATGGACCGGTGTGTTTACACCACAGGGCACTGTGGCACTTAAAGATATTTTTTGGGGCATTTTGCCTTTAATCGATAGGACAGACAAGCGTTAAAGGGGGAGAGAGAGAGAGGGAGTGACATGCAGCAAAGGGCCACAGGCTGGAGTCGAACCCGGGCTGCTGCAGCAACAGCCTTGTACATGGGGCGCCTGCTCTACCACTAAGCCACAGAAGCCCCATATATCTCTAAAGTTTAATAATTATCTCAGCATATTTCCTTTGTTTAATCTGCTCACAAACAAAAATATAAAAACTTGAAGTTGTGTTTTTACGGGAATTAAATGCTAATTTCTTGATGGCCAACGGCAGGACTTGTAACTGACCAGGAAGCGAGTGTCTTATTCCTAGGACACATCAGACGGGCACTGAGCAAGTGTTAAAGATACCTTAATAAACTAAGGTTGATTACCATTATGTTCCTTAAGTCTTCCACCGTCCAAGTGGACCAATGACCCAACACAGTGGCCAGATATTGTTTATCAGGACATCTATATATGATTGGATCACCAGGTATCTTTAGGCTGTTGTCTTAATCGACTTACCATGCTGCTATACCGTATGACTGTTAAGTTACTAACGTAAAAAATAACGTTAACATCAGTAGTACCTGTCACCAGCATCATTTGGCGATTTACCAAACTGCGTGAAAGCCTAGGTTAACCTGCTACACAACCATTTTTCAGCACTTTCACGTTTCTCTCCTGATGTGACGGCACGTTTCTTTCCCCCTAAAAAGGACACAGAGTTGGCGATGACGCGATGTTGGTCTAGCTTGGAGCCAAAGCCCGAGCTGTTGTCTTCCATCTTTTTCACAATATGGCAGGGAAATTGGAGATCAGCGTTTTTGGATTTATTGTTGGTACAACCTACTGCACTGGTTTGTTTAAAGTAGAAATTTGGAGACATTTTAAACCTTCCGTGTCTGTACGCTGATGCCATCTACATGAAACTTTGGATTGTATTCCCTCTAAAGGACGCGTGGTGATGAGAGCCTACTCTGGATGACGGATTATGCCTTAACCAATCCAACCAACCAATACAGCTGGTACTAGCCTGTCAGAGAGAGTGTAGGGCAAATCATGCATTTGCCATTCTAGGGGAAAAAAAAAAAAAAAGCAACCAGGAACTGCATTTGAAAAAGTGGTAAAAAATATATTTGACATAATTTAAAAACACAAATCGTTTGTCCAACACAGAGCACCAAGTTAATTTTTACACTGTAAAATGTCTGGCTCAGAACACATCTTAGTTTCAATGCTATAAAAAGAATATTTAAAGGATTCCTATCAAAATTGTTTAAAATGCATTTATGTTAAATTATCTTCATATGATTTTTTTTACTCTCAAATATGAATATCACTGTCAGATTAGAAAACAGAGCACTTGTCAGGCTGTAACCTGCAGGTATGGTGGTGTGTTAGGTGTGTGTGTGCTGTGGGTCATGTCCTCACCTCTATGGTGGGGTGTGTGTTGTGTTTGTAGGCTGTGTAGAGGGGGAACTGGATCTGGAAGATCTTGGCGGCACACAGCAGCAGTTTCTCCCTCTCCTCTGTGCTCCAGGAGCTGAACGGGTCCTGGCTGTCACTGCCGCCGCTTGCTCCGACACCACCATCACCATCCCCTGACCCACTGCCGCTCTCCCCAGGACCCAGTGCTTCCATCTGGGCTTCACATGGCTGGTTGGCCCCCTGAGCCTGCCCTTGACCCTGGCTCTGGGTCTTATTCTGGTTCAGGTCGGGGGCGTCAGCGTCCTCTTCAGCAGAGTCTCTCTCCACATTCACAGGTTCGTCCTCCCCGGGTGAGGACGGTTGGGGGAGGGGCCCGGGTGCAGCCTCATTCCCGCTCCATTCAGACCCCACCCCCTCACCCCCGGCTCCTTTATGGGTGTGGTCCTGGACGCTGCAGAGGCGGTCTCTCAGGCTGCTGATCTGAGCGATGACCAGGTTGATGAGGGCGTAGACCAGCTGATTAAAGACCTCCAGGTGCTTGTACTCCTTGAAGCAGCAGAGACATTGTCTGACGACACAACAGAGAAGAAACAAGAAGTGTTAAAAAAGCAATCAACATGGCTGCAGAGCTTCACTCTCAAGTCAGTCAGGTACTGTAATTATGGAGCTACGAATGAGGAAAATAACTGTGACGTCATTTGTGACATTCTGACAGGGATAAAAATACAAAACCAAGGAGGAAATAAATGAGCTATACTTAAAAGAACTCACTGACATGTAACCTGCTTAAGAAACAGTAAAACTTGTCCCTGAACGTTTCAGTAACCAGTGTTCTAACAGTCCACAGTCTGGGCAGAGAAGGAGCAATGAAGTTGAGGTTGGAGGCAGCGGAGTTTGGGCAGATGGTCCAAAATGGTTTTCAGAGTTTTGACTTGATGGAGCTGGTGCAGGACAAGATCATGGGCAGCACAGGTGTGACATTTTGACACACGTTATGTATGCGACCTACCGAAGGAGATTTTAGAAGTAGCTGTTAGCAGTTAACAGCTAACTCCAAGAAGAAAAACAGTGGCTTAAATTGGGAAAACAATGAGGTTCAGGAGCTCTTTATGCTCCAAGCAGAGGACGAGATCAGTTGCCATAAAACAGGGACTGTAAATGACTGTTACTGTTATGTTATGTCATTGTTATTGTCTATAAAGCGCTGCTGTCGCATGTGTTATACATCACACTAGAGGCTGACGCTGCTGTGTTACATGTCACGACTAATAATAATAAAAATAATCCCTTTAAATTATGTAGAGATTGGTAGCATTTTTCGTAATTTCTTGATTTCTGAAGACTAAAATCCGGCTCAGACTGTTGAGTCAGAAGCACAAACGAAGCAGTACACTCTCTACACTTGTTGATTGCTCACTCTTCTCTGTTGTTGTTGTTACAGAATGTTATAGGGCTGTACCGAACAGAGGCTTCATTTATGATGTTGACACTGAAATCTAAATCTGTATTTGAATGCTGCACAGTATGGCTGGGCGGAATATCGAATTTTTTTTTTTTTTTTTTTTTTTACAATATATCGATATATTTTCAAGCAAGATATGGATTTAGGCAACACCGTTTATATCGATATATGACTGCACAGCTTGCACTTCATCTAACAAAATATTTTGCTTCAATCTATATTTGTTGGCGTTTAGCCTTTCAAAAACAACATTTTCACTGCAGTCAAATAAACTGTTGGCTGTCCCACTTGCTGCACACAAAGGGACGCACACACCCGTATTAACCATGAGTGTTTAAGGAGAAGTAGCTACAGCTTGGAGGCGGAGTCCCGTTCATTCCTATTAAAGTTGCTCAGTGGAGCATGATGCCAAAAAGTTCAACTGTGCAGGTGAAATTACATGGATGATCTGCACTGTGCGGCCCATAGAGTTTCCAAACCTTATTTGTCCAAATGGATTTAAGTCTGACAGTGAAACAAGTCATTTCTCAAGGGTTGTGATGCTAAAAAAAAAAAATATCTATCCATTGATTTACAGACATCTGTTTCGCCATGTTACTCAATGGGAAAAGACTTTCTGGGCCACATGGCATCACCTGACAGAGGTTACTCAACTGTTTGGCCACTACAAAAATTGGCTTCAAAGTCCGGCGCACATCCTGGGAGCCTGGTATACACAACTAACAGCACTATAAATTATATTAATATAACCTCAATAACAAAATGCTAATAAGTCATTTAATCTGATAAATTACAGGATTTTCTTTAGGTAATGATGTCATAAAATATAATGAGATATTTGAAGCTTGACAGACAGACAGATAGATACTTTCTCAGTACACTGAAACTTTGCGTAGATTTCACAGACTCAACTTTGCTTCCAACAAACTCAGCTCAATCTAAGGAGTCTAAATTTTTTTGACTGCCACTTAAGATGACAATAGATGGAGTCAAATTTAAAATACAACACTTTCATTCAAGTTTTTTATTCACACAGAAAACTGAGTGTGTGCGAGTACACTGATGTTTTGCCACGTCTCAGTGCACCTCTCATACATCACTGAAGTTAAAGTACAGCATGCGTCACCGGCAAATTCTTACTTTGAACAAAGATGGAAGCATGACACACTCACAACTAAAGCACAGCCTGCCCAAGGATGGAGTGCTTCTTGGTAACGTTTAAACAAATTAGTCAGCAAAATTTTGAATGTTTAGGTCAGCGACTTCAAGTCTCCTTCATTACACCAAATATAAAACTCTCCAGCTGGATGAATAAAAACAGAACAAATCATTATTACTCAGGAGCTTCATTTACTGACAGAGCAGATCAGATGTTTCTGCTCCCATAAAACAAGAATCATTTTTCTGATCAGAAATACAATAAAACTTCACATCACAGTGAAGCCACACTCACACCTGAGAGACGCCCTCCAAACCACCAGATTTAATGCCTTGCTCGTAGGTAGCTGGACCCCAGCTGCTGAGGACGGTCTTGGTTTAGATCACTTTCAAAATGGTTTTCCAGCTTGATTTCTTCTCTTTTCTATTGTTGTTTAAAGACACACTAATCTATCGCCTGGACAGAAAACCCTGATCACACCAACTGAAGCAGGATTTATGCTACTGTCCAGGGAAGGTTTCTTGCCCCTGATCCCAATGTGAGTCATTTAATATTGGGTGTCTGCCGATACAGTCCTGATCAGATACACTTCAACTACATTAAAGTTATCAAAATAAATCCAATGTCTATGCTTGACAACTAAACAGCACAGTAACTTAACACAGTGGCACAGAAACCCCACAGCTAACTGTGGGTGTGACTGCAGAGCCACACAGAGACACCACCACACAAGTGTAAATGCTCACAACAGCGTAGGCCTCATGCATGGACTATACATCAGCCTTAGTGACGAACGAAGGACTGCTGTAGGAAAAAGCAAACAGCTGCAGGTGGCTATTACAGTTTGGCAGAACTTTGAATAATCAACACACGGGATCAGGCCAAGCAACACCACAACTTGTTGTTCTTTGAGCCTAATTATGTAAACATTATCAGCTGACTCGTGTGAGAGACTTCAGAGGAAGACGAACTGACCTCTGTGTCCAGGAGCTGATGTAGCCCAGCACTCGCAGGGCATGTTCCTTCTTCAGCTGGAAGCCTCCTTCACTGCCGTCTGCATCCGATACTGAGGAGAAGCAAGAGAAAATACCTGTTAGTGAACAGCTAGATACATCTCAGGAACGAAACAGAAAAATAATATCTTGCTTTAAAATTTTACTCTCTACGCACCAGCTGACTAAACACCACCAGTCACCTGCAGGCTGGTTTTAGGGGCCGTACACATCGCCTTCTTTTTTGCACCCTCAAATCCATTGTTTTCAACATAGAATCGAAGGCACACTTAAACACCAGAGTGACACCAGAGCGACACGCATGCCTTCCTGAGCGCCTGTTTTTCAGGGCGCGACAGCTGCACTCAGGATTTCATGTTATTTGGCTATGATCGTTGCTTGTTATGGTTACTCCAGACGCAACCTGTGTCCATGCCCTTCAAAGTTACTGACCAATAATGGTTTATCCCAGATATTCAAGTATCAGCTTACAGTATGTTGAGACAGTCAAAAAAAAAAAAAAAAAAAAAAAAAAAAAGTAGAGTAACGTTTATATGCCACATATTTACAAAAATTTGACCCTTATCTACTTTAAATTCAAAGGAACCTTTCGGCTTTATTTGTGCTTTTACTTTAAATTATTTGTCAGAATTTAATATCCATTGAAGATTAAGATTTACAGCCATCCTATAATTACTTCGACTGTTAACTTCAGCAACAAAATGTATTGTTTAACTGTACATCCCTCGGCAGTCTCCCACAAACTGTCTAACTTGCCCTTAATCACAATAAATCAATTTCTGTTGCAAGTTACTAGTGTGTGCAGGAGTTCGTCTGCAAACGGTGTCCTACTCACACCTGTTTTGAATTAGATGTGCCAAGTGTTCTTTTAACTGTACATCCTGCCTCAGTGCAGCACAGTATCCATGCCCCAAGTGGGTAATATCCAGATTTGTGAGATGATAAAGGGGTACTCCAGCGATTTAGTTTTGCACCTCACTCTTAAAGTATGGAGGCTCCCAAGAGAGACTTTTATTAAAATATACATAAAGAATGGTCATAATCAAAGAAGACAGAGGACAAGATATCCTGAGTTAACCTCCACAAACACTAGATCCCACAATTTCCCGTAATGCCACCTGGAAAATGTGCAAACTCCCCACCCAGAGTTTGTAACACTGGCTTTCTATTATCTGCAAAAGTCTGCACACCTGCATGGAAGCAATAACTAGAAACTGGTATGAAAACTAACACATTTTAAACAACTGGCACAGTAAGAAATATATATATATATATATATATATATATATATACTGTACGTATGGGATGGAAAAACTGACTGATTTTCCCTGAGGAATTAGGAGGAAACCTTTCCCAGAAATTTGGAGAAATTGTTCACCTCTGCTGCAAATGCTGAGGACGCTGTCATAATCTGGATCTGAATAAACCAAAGGGACACTATGGACACAGGATCAAAATGCGCACCCAACTCATTTCTCATTATTTGTTCATGTTTTCTCTCTCATTCAAAAATGTAGTAAAACTCTCATAAAAAATAAGCATATAATAAACATGTTTACTTTAACATATTGATACTGGCCTCGAAGGCCTTTATCAGACGGGCTACAGTTTGAAGGCTCCCTACAACAAAGAAATATTGGCACCAGTATTCAACAGCTCCAGTCTAAAGTTACTGTTGCTGTATTGGCCTTCAAAGATCCACATCAGTCACACCCATTTCAGAGGAATCAAGTGTCTCCACTGAATCACTGACCTAAATTTGACAGCAAAGACAGAACACACACACACACACACACACACAAAAAAAAACAGTGACAATAGTTTCAATCGACCGTCTTAGCTGTGCAAGCAGTACGCTTTTCTGAACTGAACCAAAACGCTTTCAGCTCTACAAGTGAACAGAGGCTCCTCTGAGGCTTCAATGCCCGGGAGGAAGTTCACTCTCTGGGGTATGTGCCCGACAGATTTGACAGTCTTCCTGCAGCCGTGCTGAGTAGGGTTGCAGCCATATACCAGTTTTAGGGTATCCCTTGATTTAAAAGTTGACGGTAATCATAGTGCACATTTGCTTATCTACGATATTGGAAAAAATGCGACTGTACGGAGAATTTCCCTTTTATTTTCGTTATTTTCTAAAGGCGAGACTTTTTAAACATACTTCCATTAACAAAATTAGTAAATTAAAGTAATAAAACATTTGTTAAACCAAAATTAACCCTTCTGTTCTCATTCCTTTAAGATTCATTCTGACTGATAATAGTATAAATTCTGCAATACCATGATATCATGACATGGGGATATCTTCCGAGACAGTTATCGCACCGTGAAAATCTCATACCATTGTAACCAAGTGCTGAGGGATGATGGTGATGATGATGTCTGCGAATGGGCACGCCAGGTGCCAACATTAAACCCAGTTTATGGCTGCAGCTCACCGTGGATATAAATACAAAGAGGGGGAGGACACCTGCACAGTGTGATCACACTCCTCAGCTCAGCAGCAACTGTAGCGTTCAGACAGACTGGAGGCATGAAACATGAACTTTCCAGCTGTGACACTATAAGTACAGTTTAGCTAAAATGTGCTTTTGAAAGCCAACAGAGGAGAAAGATCTGAAGCCTGTGGAATGACAACATCTGTCAGAAAGACACTCTCTGATTGAGATCTGTGTGCCACTGAGCCTGTGATGTTGTGCATTTGTATTTTAATTTCTGTCTTATCTCCATTTCTGAAGAATTTCAGGTGGAAGAGAGGCTTTGTAACATTTCAATAAAACACTGCAACTGGATTTTGTAAGTTCGTTGTCTGGATTGAAGGGTAGTGTAGAAGCACAGTAGGGATTTATGGCACAACTTCACCTACTTCCACTGTGCGTGAAGAAGGGAAAAACTCCAAAATATGTGATACAAAAAACAACTTCATCATCAGACTAACACGTATTATCCTCTGGGTTGAAGGGATTCAGTATTCTGCTTCAAGAGATACAGTAATTTTTAAATGAACAATCAGTATTTGGATGATAAATGGTTGAATCATTGAAGCTGTCAATCCAAAGATTAAAGGTCCAGTGTGTAGAATTTTAAGGGATATACTGTCAGGAATGGAATATAATATAATAAGTATGTTTTCTTTAGTGTAAATTTACATAAAAATACAGAATTGTTGTGTTTTCATTACCTTAGAATGAGCTGTTTATGTATAGGGAGCGGGTCTTTGTCTATAGAGACTGCCATGTTTCACTACCACATTTCTACAGTAGCCCAGAATGGAAAAACCAAACACTGGCTCTAGATAGAGCCCTTCACGTTTTTGCGTCAACCACCACTGTAAGCAACACGAGCGTCAGAAAAACACAGATTTTTTTAGCGTGAAGCTGCTTTATTTGTTGTTTTTACAGGTTTAATCCCCGGGTCTGTCTGTTTTGGAGAGGAAGAGAACTCTGTGGTTAATTCAGCTCCCGGCAGAAACCTCCTGAACGTCTGGATCTTAAGTTATCATATAAAAACGCTGAGCACATATTAGCAGGTGCTGGAATAGCAGCCTGTCTCTGACATGCCAAACAACCTTGGAAAAACACATTTTGAAACTGCTTTATTCTGTGTTTTTACTTGTTTAAATCACCCGGATCATTTGTTTTAGAGAGGAGAAGACTTCTGCAGTTAATTCGGCTCCCAGTAAAAACCTCCTGAACGTTTGGATCAGAAATAAGGCGAGCACAAAAAAAGCAGGTGCTGGGCGCGCAGCTTGTCTGCGATGGGCCAAACACCATTTGATGAACACTGATTTGTAACGTGAAACTGTTTTATTCAGTGTTTTTACTGGTTTAAATCACCTAGTCTGTTTGTTTTGGAGAGGAGGATAATTCAGCCTCCAGTTAAAACCTCCTGAACAATGAACACTTAAGAAATTCTAACCGGGTTAAGTTTCAGCTGGTTGCAATCTGCAATCCTCACCACTAGATGCCACTAAAACCCCCTAGATCTTACCAACTCAACCTTTAAAGGAAAGAAGCTGAAAAACAGCTACTTTAAGTTAAAAGTAAATTTTTAAAAAAAACTTTATAAAATATTCAAATCAGAGGCAACATAAGTCCTACGTCCCCTAAACGTTAACTGTACATCCAAATTGAAATTCTACGTAATTGAGAGAATAATTTTACACCCAATTTAAATTTAATTTCTGTCTCCAGCTCATGACCATGTGAATTCCAAATGAAGTATGAAAACTATGAGTGACAAGCATTGTGACTACATTTCCTTCTGCATGTTGTAGTTTTGCTCAGCACTGGGTTACACGTTGTTGGTCACGTTGTAACCTCAATGTGAATGAGGCCTAATTTACCTACTTTAAGTAAAAGTTCACTAAAAACAATAATGATGCCATTATTACTTCTTATGGCCCTTTTTCACTGAAGACATTTTCCCCTGTTATAGTTAGAAAGGGCATCATAGGTGTCGTGAGTAACATTAACAATGGTTCTGTTGTGTCCCTCTGAGCCAGCATGAAAAATACCAGGACCCTGAAAGTGACGCAGCTAAATGGAATTCAGCCATCATTAATATTGTTATTTACACCCGTGTTTTCCTGCTGTGACACGTCAAAATGTCTTCAGCAAATGTTTATAAATTGGGACTTCAAAGTCCACTCTTTATTGTTGAAGTTGCATCATCCGGCAATTATATTTTAGCAGTTTAAGTTTGTGTGTGTGATTTAAGAGTCTTTAAACTGGAGAAGAAAGGCTGGATTTATATGATGCACTTTCCTACCCTTCCTACACGCCCACATTGCACAAACTGTTTTATACAATGATACCACAGTTTTCTACAGGCTGAATTTCATTTAGAAAATGTCAGAAAATAATGCAAATGTCACAATTTCCCTAGCACCCAAGGTGACATCTTCAGATAGTTTGTTTTGTCTGACAGTCCAACACCCAAAGATATTCACACATGAAACAGAGAAGAAACAAACCCTTGCATTTTTGGAAACCGCATGGCTCAGCCCTGTGTCAGGAAACACAGCTCCCTGTTGTAAAAGGGGATTCTGCCTCTTACATACGCACACAAACACATGCTGCTGCAGCAAATCTGAGGTCACAGGTCACCTACAGACAGAACACATGGACCTGCCAGTCTTGTAGACAGAGCTGTCACAGCTGACACCACCCCGCTGTGGAGCCCCCCTCCAACCCACCACAACACTAGTTTGTATCAGCAGAGTTGGAAAGGCCCAACAGGCCTCGTACTGCCACAAAAATACAACCAGTTTTCACTGCTGGACTCGTGAAAAGCACACGAGCAGCAGATTTTCTGTCATGTTATTTGAGTCAGACTCCAGCCAAACTATAGCGAAGTAAAATTGTGTGTGTGGTGGTGTGTCAGCACAGAGTAACCTTTAACCTTCATACAACTTGAAGCCCAAACCACATCAAAACCTCAAACAGAGAAGTAAACGAACACAATCTATTCATACTGTCATCTCGTTGCCAACCACTGGAAATGTTTTGTAGATTTTTTTTACATTCTGAGTACAGCTGGGTATTGAACCAAAACACCTTTGATACCAACTTAATGTATACGTAGCACTGATTATTAAATGCTGTCGAATCCTCTCCAGTCCTGAAAGGTAGCACTGAATCCCTGGTCAGATTTCAAATCTAAATTTCTACTAGTTTTAAGCTGTATTTTATTTACACACAGTTTTCATGTGGCTGCTCGTGTTTAGACAAAATTAAACATTTGAAAACTTTGGGTTTTTATGGGTTTTGCAGAAAGAAAAACAAGATTATATTTCTCAAAGTAAGACGCTGAAAACAAAGTATTGTTTCTGTACTGAGAGTCATGTATTGTACTGGCACTGGTAATGAAAATTCTCAAATGATACTCAGCTCTAATTTAAAGGTGCGACACACATTTTGTCCATCTAACTTTACACAATGCAAGAGGACTAAAATGTTCCACACAATGACCTCTGACATGTAAGAACGCAGGTGAAAAATAATTCAAAACTACTGTTTGACTTCCTGTCACTGTGCAACACAGTGCGACACATGCTTTGTGATGAGCATCAACGAGACAACCTGATCTGGGGTTTCCCAAAAATATACACAGATATTTTGCACATCCATATTATAACGGAGACCTCTACACAAAACACACAACCAAAACCAAATCTGGCACATGAACAGCATAGCTACAGATCATATGATAGTCGAGCATCGAATACCAGAAGGTAGAATATATTGATAAACCACAACTGTTAACATACAGAACTGGAAGCAGGCAACACGTCTCAGACAAAAACACTGGGAAGATTCTCCTATGAGATTAACTGCTCATTAACATCTCCTATAAGACAGATGGACGTTGGACATTGTACTTCTGGTCTAAGCCTCTCACTTGTGAAGGGAATTCTTAAATCCTCCAGCATACAATGATATTTGGACAATAGTTTGCCTCAAACTGTTTGTATTTGGCTCTTTCCTGCTTCAACACAACAATGTCTCCATACACAAAGCCAGCTCCATAAAGACTGGGTTTTTCCCAGTTTGGTGTGGAAGAACGTGACTGAGCCCTGACCTCAACCCCATTGCACACCTTCAGGACGAACGGGCACTTCAACTGCAAGCCAGGCCTCATCACCCTACATCAGCACCCGACTTCACTAATAACCTATTCAGACCAGCACGGCTGCCCGCCTTTGGTGACCTGCCGTCTCCATTAAGAATGGAAAATTAATGATATTGACCTTTAAATGTCATTTGACAGACTCCCTAACAAGAGGGAGACAAAAGGAGAAACAGCCAAACCGAGAGCGTGCAGGCGTGGGCAAGACAGACTTTACTTTTATTTTGCATTAATGTAATTCTGTTGATTTGTACGGTTTCTGAACGACAACCAGATATGGCTGAAGATCCAGCAACATGGCAGTTGGAGCATGCATTGCTTGTATGAAAGGGTTATAATACTCTTGTTGCAGAATGGGAGGAAAATCCCTGCAGCCAACTCCTAAAAAAAATCTAATGAAAAGTTTCCCAGAAGACAGAAGGCTGTGATAGCATCAGTGTGATACCCATGGTTTTGAAAATGATATGTTCAGCAAGTGTCACACACGTCTGTAATAGCTGGGTGTCCACATACTTCCAGCCATATAATGTACAATGAAAATGGCAATCCTTTCCCAAAACAGGTGGCCACAACTCACGCACAATTTAATATTTGTATGCACACACTCCCAAAGGGCTTATCTTCTAATTAACACCAACAACTCAAAAAGAAATAAGCTGGAGTTCCTTTATAAGTTTGAGTAAGTGAGGCCATGCTACAGTCAGGTGCATGACTGTCTATTAAAGTGGATTCCTACAGAGCCTGCAGGAGGAGCTTTCCCTTCTCAGTCACACAAGCTCATGACACACACAATAGGCTGGACACACACACGGGAAAACGACAAATAAACCGTCAATCGCAGCATTGTAACAGCTTTACAAACAGTGTTATAACACAGACAGGCTTTGTCCAGTGTCTTGCAGACAGCCCTGAAGTGCAGCAAGGCCCGGTTAGCACGCCTGGGCTAACTTGTAGCTATAACGGCAACCTTGTATTTACGTTTGCTGGCTTAAGTTGACGTTAGCCTTGCATGTGGAAATAAGACTTCATTGCAAGATTCATTTTGCCACCAAAGCGAGCAAAGGCGTGAGGCCGGTGTGCACACGACATCGACCCGAAAAACATGCACAAGCTACCGAGGATTAACGATGTGCTGTGTGCCAAAATATGCGCCTCGTTGCAGCCATTAATTTTCTGGGCTAGCTTAGTTGCCGCTAGCTTACACTACATTCAAGAGACTCGCCAAAACCACACAAGAAATATACATCATCATGTTCGTGTCAGCGATATGGACAGCGAGCGTGTTACTGACAGTCAGCAGGGCATTTTGAATTGTGATTGTGAACCATCTGCAAAACAATGGGGTGGCAGCGGAGTGGACAGCTAGCAGACTGACCTGACAAACACATCAAACAAAGTCAGGCTCGCTCGCTGTAGCTAAACTAAGCTAACTCTGCTAACTTCCAAAATCGGTGCAGGTCGGAGTTTCAGCACAATTTCGCAGCCTTAAAACCCGCTCATGTGCACCGTGTTTGACAGTGCGAAAGTATTTTAAGTCATGGCTGTAATGTCACGTACAAAAACCGATCGAGCTGATAAGATTGTGAGTCGAGTTAGGCAGCTATTAGCTTGTGGGAGTTCTGTGGAGTGTTTGACAGACAGGCCCCCAAAAACTGATCTGCCAATTTGGATGTGGCATTCATATCAAAACCGACACCGTGTGACACGAAGACAAAACTGTCACTGACTGTGAAACACGCACAAACACCGACATTACTTCCAGTTGTCCCACGGCTGCAAAGTCTGGACAGAAAAGGCGAGCTAATCACAAAAACACACAAAGTTATATTTAGCTAGCCACCGAGCTAACACCAAGCTCCAGTGGACACCGATGCTAATATCAAGCAGCTAGTTCAGCGTGTAAATGAAATTATTTCTTTACTTACTTTCATTTAAAACCTCCACCAGCTCGGCGCAGTTTTCACACATTGTTCATGAAGAGGAAAACTGAGTCAAACCATTGCACTGGGAGCTGTTGTTGGCTGGCAGTTGGTTTTTGGGGTAAAAAAAAAGGCCCAGTGGAGGGAGTGATTGGTGAAGGTTATCCCACTAAATGAAACCAGGGGGGACAACAAAGTGTAGAACGTGATTTGCATCCAAGCGAAGTTGATGTACACCAAAAGTTAAGAGGCACTGGAAGGTAGAAATCGAGTCAGTGTCCAATCTGAGCGTTACTTGAGAGAGTAGACACAGCAGCCATGATGAAAAAGGAGGGGGGAAATAGTTCGGGACTTTTCGTGTTGTCTCTTTAGCCTGTTCGGATTTTTTCGCAAGTCTCGCGATACCTTCCAAACGAAAGTGAGGTTTCAACCTTTTCTTTGGATCTCAAGGACAACTGAGACTGCTCTGTCTGTGATTAATAATCAGTGTCAATATCATCAATATTTTTATAACACATTTGATAATGTATAACATATATTATTTATTTATTTATTTATGTATTTATATATGTGAAACTACTTTATAATTCATTTCACAAAAGGCTATCAGAACACTTCATATCTGTATGTTTGTATAATATTTTTGTCCAGCGTGATGCTCTTTTGTTTGTTCTATTTTACACTATCCCCTGTGTATTGATTACTCATTATGTGCTTTTGTTGAATTAAATTTAAACTCTCAAGGGCAACTGTGGTGAAATATTAATTTTAGCAATTTTATTTATTCATTTATCTATTTCTTCATTTATTCAGTGTTTGTATTACATAAAATGTATATATTTTTATTTCCATTTATTTATTTACTTTTTGCTGTTGTTCAGTTTTAGTCATTTAACACCCAGCTATATAACGATTTTAATACTATCTTTAAATTATCTGACTCATACTTACAACTACAACTTTACAGTCAAATTTTCATTAAATTTTTTACTACATGTACCATGTCGACTTCACACGACTTCTTTAAAAAAAAAAGTTTTTGCATTATTATTATTATTATTATTATTATTATTAAAGTATTATATAGTTTTTGTTTGTTTGTTGCTAGCTGTCTTTGTCTTTTTTGCTCTAAGCTGGTGTAACGGTGAAAATAAAACTGCAGACAAAATAATCAACACGACTTTAATGGAATTAATGCAAAATACTGAAAAGAAAGAATGTTAATATTACATTGTAAATTTTAATAAGACAAAAATACATATTAGAATATTAGTGTTTTTATGTTATGTTTTAAGCTTTTATTTACATTTTCCCTGGTATAACATGTAAGTCTTTTTACAGTTTAAACAGTCAGGTGCATTTCAAATAAACATAATTGATTAATTAAATCCATGTCTACTACAAAATCATGTGATGAGGTTAATGTACTTGGGTTTTTTTTAACATATGTATTCATGTCTTTTAGTTTTTCTTGTCTGTGCAGCAGAGGTGGAAGTACTCTAATATTTAATGAAGTAAAAGCAGTAATGCCACAGTGCAGACATACTTAAGAGTACCAAAAGTAAAAGTATTTATTGTGCAAAATATAAATGTAAATATCAGGATTTTAATCACTGATAGATGGACGTGTAAGCATCACTAATGTTGCAGGAGGAAATCATTTTAATAACTTTATATACTGCTGAGTAGCTTCATCTGTAATATTACATCTAAATTTATTATTTGGTTTATCTTTTTTACAAATAATCTGAACTTGCAAGACACTAAAGTTATCAAACAAATGTAGTGAAGTAAAAAGTTCAGTATTTGCCTCTGAGGTGGAGTCAAAGTATACAGAAGCAGAAAATGTTCTTATTATTTTCCTCCACTGATGTGCAGTGTACTTAAACTGCATGCTTGTTATAAAGGGAGGAAAAAGAAATTATTTTGTCACCCTGCCTGTTTGCATTTCCTTTGATATGATAAATCATATCTTACACTAACTGAACAGGTACATCCCCCATTATTCAAAGACCTTTGATTAATTTCAGGCCCAGCCGTTCACATCACAGGGACAGGTGACTTTAAAACATCTTCTATAGTCAGACTCATGTGCCGAAACTTTCTCAGGACCCACTGTAGTTTTGTGTTTTTGTGTGTATGCTAAAGAAAGCTCTTTCCCAGGATCAGAACCTGGTATAAACTTGCCAACAGGCCTTCTACAAACTTCAGACCCTTTTAATGTCACAACTGGCAACTCACAGTGTTTCTTTGGGTCTCGATTAACAGAGCAGAGCTTTTTCTTAGAAAAGTCAACTGTCGCGTTGTTTGACCAGTGTCTGGAAAATCATCCCACGATGTCCATCTGCGTACCACTGAACTTAGTGAAATGATCTTTGGATGCACAATGAAAGCTGTACTGATGCTCTCATGGGACATTCAGGAGTTATTTTAATGAGCAGTAGCTTGTTTGATGTCACTCATCACAAGGAGGAACTAATAATGACGACACTGTTCCATCAATTATTGTAATGCAATTCAGGTAATAATGTAAATTATCTTCATCATTATGTGTCAAGCTACACAAGTTTTTTCCCCAGGCAATTAATTTGCAGTAGAGGTAAGCATGTTCATGGGTGCAGGGTGGCCCAGGGTCAGCCATGAGTGATGCCCCTGGAGCAGTTTGGGGGTTTGGCGCATGCTCAGGGGCACCTCGGCAGTGCCCAGGACTCCACACTTGGTGCATACAGTGACTTGAACCAGCAATCCACCGGTTCCAAAGCCAAGTCCCCATGGACTGAGCTACTGCAGCCCCCTGTAGCTTTAATAGCAGTGGAAAGTAACTAAGTACATTTATTCAAGTATAATTTTGAGACACTTTGAGTACTCCCATTTTCTGCTGCTTTATACCTCTGCATTTTACCTCACCATATTTATTTGACAGCTTTAGTTACTTTGCAGATTCAGATAACTACAGAATATAAATTAACTAATAAATTATGACGCATTATTATAGATGAAGCCTTGCAGCACTATATAAATATAAATGAGCTCCAACTTTACCAGCTAATATTAAAGAAACACATTATTGCATTAATAATTATAATCCAGTTACATATATCATTCTGAATAATAAGTACTTACACCGCTGCTACTGTAAGTTTATTTGAAGCTCATACTTTTGTACTTTTACTCGTGATTTTTAACGCAGGAGATCTGAATACTTCTTCCACCACCGAATATTAGTTGACAAGAAGTGAAGTGTGGGACTGGGACAAAGCTAAAATGTCTGCTGTGAAAAGCGACTTTAGCTTCATTCCACATTTTTCCGCCAGGTGTGACTCCTCTGCAACACCCCCAGTTTGGGCACCATTTTCTCAAAAGTATCTCTCCACAGCCAAGCTCAATGTCAAATTTTCCAAAACCTTTAGAATGTATGTCATGTGCAGTAACCCTTCAGGTCCTGGAAGACGAGCTGTGACATTCCTCGCCTTTTCCAGGTTCTCCGTAACCTCCACAGCTTTGGGGAAGAAGCAGATTCACACACTTTTATTTTTTTTTTTGTAAAAATAGCCAACTTTATATTCTCAGAGTACTAAGACAGCTTTACAAACAGGATGATATGCACACAGCTTTCCTTCTCATCCAAACGCAGAGCGGTCCAACTGAAGCTCCGACTCAGAGAGCCAGAGAGAAAGAAAAAAAAAAACAAAACAAAACAATAAACACACTGACAAACCAAAACAAGACAACAAAAGGAAGCAAGGAAGTACACGACTACCCCTTGAGCATCACATTCGTCCTGCACCATGCACATGGCACTTCTGAAACCAGAGCAATCTGTCAACTAACCAACGCGAGGGTTTCAACATTATATATTACATATTAACAAATAGGAGAGGAGGTGAATTGAGGGGGTGAAGAGGGATTAAAAATAATTCTTCCAACTTCATGCAGGTGTAAAATAACCATATGGCCAAACATAAAGCTTTAATTAGCAAAAAATTAACAAAAGATGGCATGTTACACACAAAAAATTGTATAAAATAAGTTTGTAGGAAAAAAGAAAACAAGTCGGCGCCAGGGTTGACGGGGGTCAGGGGGACAAATTTCATTTACATATTGACATTGATTTGGTCGACGTACAACCGAGTGCTGGGGTCCTTTGTCTGGCCCCTCATTCTCTTTTCAAACACACATTCGCACATAAACACACTTGAAAAGAAAACAATTTATCAACAGGAAGCGTCCTTGCTCTCTCGACCCCTTTCCCCCTTCAGAGCTGTTTTGTACACGCTGTTGGCTGCCGCTACTGCTTCAGTCGCACATCTCCTCCGGCAGCTCGTGAGGGTTGAGGATGCCGGGCACTGACATCTGGAGCTTGTGTTTCTCTTCCTGGGCTTGGCGCAGAGCCGTCTCCCTCTCTTCCAGGAACAGGTCCGTCGTGTCCTCGCCAGCAAACTCCTGCAGGACCACACAAGCAGAGGCTCAGCAGCGCTCCACATCAGGCTTTAGATTCAAGCTGGCCGAACTGCCATTTTCCCACAGAGGGAGACCGACACTGCTCACATTTTCCACTCAGTCTCTCACTCAGAAGTTAAAATAATCTGACACAGGTTGTAACCTGTCGAGTCAAGAACCTGGACCTAACTGTCAGTTAGCTTCAGGAAAACATTTTTATTTTATCACATCCTCCTTGGTCTGTTTTTCACCTCAAGTGTTTACCATCTCCTCTGAACACTCACCTTGATCTGCACGAGGAAGTCCCTCAGGTGCTCCTTGAAGGCGGGGATGTCCTGATTCAGGCTGAACAGACCAGTTACAAATACCTTCACCTGGGCGCTGAAGACAAGAAACTCAATTAGCCGCTAGACTGCCAACAGCACAGCATGTACAAGGGTGGAGAAACACGCCCTGCAGAAAATATGACCTTTTGATGAACTTAATTAATTCTTATCTGATGTACTATTTATTCACGTAGGCATTTTCCCTTTAGAAAACTCCTATAAGAGTGATGATTTGCTGCTTTTAATCAAAAGAAGGTACATCTGCAGTTCCATTTTCAATTAAACTTTTCAGTGGAGTTTGAGGATTATCCTTTCTTTTGTTCAAAAACAATCTGAGCCACATTAAATTACCACTATATAAACACAAATCTGCCTCAAAACTTATGAGTGCCGTGGGTGTGATTCATTTTGTGGAACAACTCTCTCAGCCTTCTGTCAACCTCAGGCCTTTATTCTGTAGAAATCAAAGTGTACTAAGTAAGAAAATTCCCTGGTATCTCAAGGTCAAAAGTGCTGACTCACTTTCAGAGGTTTTTGACAACAAACTCGCACTGAG